GCCTTCCAAGGAGCAGGCAGGAGCAGACCAGGTAAGGAACAATGAGCAGAGATCTCTAAATCTTTGAGTGGAGGTATTTGAAAATTCTGGAATGGTTAGGATCGCTAGGCCTCCCTGCAGCCAGAGGTCCCAGTGCAGCCTTGGTACCCTCTAGTGGAAGTTTTCTGCATTCACACAGCTTCCCTGGTTTCAACCCCAAACTGCTGGGAGGAAAGCCCTCATTCAGTCCCTGGAAAGCGTCCCAGAAGAATGGAAGATACATGTTTCTGTTGTCAGGGTCTGTGAGGCGCAGAAAAAAGAATACAGGCTGGAAGGGAGGGGTTCTGAGCCCTTGGTTCACAAGGGGCTCTAAAGGGAGTCCTTGCTGATATATACGTGAACTCAGGCCTTTATATGATTAATAGGAGCTCAGTACAGATTCAGCTTTTACAGCTCTAGAAAGAGCCTACTTGTTAGTGGGCAAAAGTAGCGATCCGAGACACAAAGTGACTTGCCTGAGGCCACAGGGGAAGTCAATGTCAGCAATGAAGGGACTACATCCTTGTCTCCTGCCTCTCAACCCAGAACTCTTTGTGCTTTATCACACTCCTCTATTTGTGGTTTGATTGATTTTAGCCATAAGTTGGTGTGCATATAAGGATATGAGGTCGTATGTATAATCAAAGAATTGCTTTTGCCCACAATTTACTTCCTGCCTGCAATCTGTACACTTTGTGTTCTTTTGTTCGACACATTTATAGATCCCAGTTATTGCCAAACATTACTCAAGGCACTGCTTTTCAAATTTGTGGACCCTTTCCCAGGGTGCCCCAGCATAAGAAGATAGGCTTCCAAGCCCCGAACCTCATGATTACAGCCCTCCAGGTGGCCCCCCTGGGGCGTCTTCCCCGGGTTTCCGATGCTAAGGTGTTATTTCTGTCTCCTTCCTCCTGCAGAGGTAATCCCTGGGCATGGAAGTGGGTTAGAAACAGATTACTCTGATCCAGGGGCTTTGCCCTCTCCTCCCTGAGCGTGGCACGAGGTGGGGGCAGAGGGGAGGGGGAAGGGAGCAGGGCATGTCACAAATAGCCTGAAATTCCCTTTTAGGATTATTGCTTGATTTAGCCAGCTGGAGTGAAAAGGGAGCAAGAGGTAAGGGATTAATTCTAGACCGGGCTTGAACAGCAGGCAACATGGGCTTCTTTTCTGGCTGCACCCAATGAGCAATATCTCTTCTTACGTATACCTTTAGAAATAAGGAGTCTGAGGAAGGCAGAAAAAGGTAAAGGCAACGGCCTTTGTCCTCAGCAGCAGGGATGAGTGGAAGAATGGATGAGAAAGAACAGCTAGCAGAAAGAAAAAAAAAAGAAATGTGAGCAGCACAGAAATAAAGGGTCAGTTATAGGCTTAGAAATTACATGCATTTTGGTGGTCTTAGCTTCAACAGATACGAAAACTGCTGCAGTGGGTAGAAGCAGAAGCAGGCTCCCCTCTGAGCAGGAAACCCAAGGAGGGGCTTGGTCCCAGGACCCTGGGTTCATGACCTGAGCCAAAGGCAGAGGCTTAAGCAACTGAGCCACCCAGGGACCCCTGTGGTTTAGGTATTTAATTATCACCTTTCTATCAGTAGGAAAAAAGGGTGGAGCTAAGATATAAATTCAGACACTACAATGTTCTTTTTTCTTTCTTTTAAGATTTTATTTATTCATTTGACAGACAGAGATCACAAGTAGGCAGAGAGGCAGGCAGAGAGAGAGAGAAGCAGGCTCCCTGCTGAGCAGAGAGCCTGATGTGGGGCTGGATTCCAGGACCTTGAGACCATGACCTGAGCCAAAGGCAGAGGCTTAACCCACTGAGCCACCCAGGCATCCCTCCCTATAGTGTTCTTAAGTACGATGTGAAAGCTATAGATGGTTAACTCTTGGAGTGACAGAGAAGCTTTGCTAACATTGTTAGCTAAAGATCAATTAGGAGCATTTCTTAATAAGTCAGAATTCTTGGTTTCCTCTGTCTCTTTATCTTGAACAACTCATTTATTTTGCTTTTCATGCTTTTGCTCAAGAGAGGGAAGTACAGGGGCACCTGGGAGGCTCGGCAGGGAGCCTGCTTCCTCCTCTCTCTGCCTCCCTCTCTGCCTACTTGTGATCTGTCTCTGCCAAAGAAGTAAATAAAATCTTTAAAAAAAAAAAGTGTTTTTTTTTTTTTAAAAAGAGGGAAGTACAATATAAACACATGGCAAGCCTATTACTTGCTTCAATCCAAGTATCACATTGTTTACTGTAATCAATAAATATTATAATCAGAATCTTCCAGTTCTCCAGAAAGATTTTCTTGGTTCAAATCAACTGTGCTTCTCCTAGAATGTAGGTCACCAGGCACAATTTCAGAAGTTCCAATCTGATGTCATCTGCCACTGGAAGACAAAAAAAACCCCGCAAGTATATGTCCCACTGCTCAAGGGATAGCCCATTCTCTTTGGCTCCATTGAGAAATTTCAATCGGAAAACCAGGGATTCCAGGAATCTCCTATATTTGGAGAAACAGGAAATCAACTTTGCCTCCTGGGATTCTACTCATCCATCTATTGAATAAATATCTGAGTGTCTACTATGTGCAAGACTTTTTTTTTTTTTTTGCAAGGCTGAGCTCCCAATCACTTTACTCCTTCCTCTAATTGCTCTTATTTTGCCTTTTCAGAAATGCGAACTACTAGGGTTGTAGTATTCAAAAATATCCTTTCAGTGTTTGGTGTTAAGACAGCTCCAATTTTCCAGAGAGTTAATGAGATAGGATGATAATATGAATTTTCCAAATGAGCAGCTATTAAAAAAAAAACCACTTACAATTCAGCTCAGAATGAAATTAATTGATATCAACTCCCCTTATTATCTCATTCAGGGTGATATAGAACAAGTTTGTACTCCCTGAGAAACTGATTACAGGGGCCCTGGCTGGCTCAGTCAGTAGAGCATGTGACTCTCAATCTTGGGGTTGTAAGTTTGAGTCCCACATTGGGTGTAGACATTACTTTTTAAAAAATTTATTTATTTATTTATTTATTTGAGAGAAAGAGCGTGTGCAGAAGCACAGGGAGCAGCAGGCAGAGGGAGGGGGAGAAGCAGGTTCCCTGCTAAGCAGAGAGGGGCTCCATCCCAAGACCCTGGGATCATGACCTGAACTTAAGACAGATTCTTAACTGACAGATGCATAACTACATCAGGTGCCCCAGGTGTAGACATTACTTAAAAGTAAAATCTTCCAAAAAAATAAAAAAGAAAGAAAGAAAGAAAATGGAAAAAACAAACAAACAAACAAACCAGAAAGAAAAGTAAAATCTTAAAAAAAAAAAAAAAGGAAAGAAAAAAAACTGATCAGAGAGCAGACAGAAGTGATCTGGGATGTACTGGCTACCATGTAAAGCCAATATAAAACTCAATGATGGGGGAGATAATCTCGGATAGACTATCTCAGTATTCTGTATTAATAACCATTCATTATGGAATGGAGTTTCCTCACTTCGGTAGGGAGACCAGTTTAAAAAAATATCACATTTTATTTTCTGAGGCATAGAGTCTGTTAAGAAATAATGAGCTATCTCTCATTTAAATGCTTAGTAATATACATTCTTTCATACCTACATCTAGCACCTAATTTCACGTCCCTATTAATGTGTCATGCTATAGGTTCAGGGCTGTGGCTAGAATTGTGGGGACATTCTTACCCTTGAATAATTTACAGTATAATTGACAAACTTAGATTTAAGGCAATACAAGCGATCCTGAGACCCAAAAGTAATCTCTCTTCTTTGATATCTGTAGCATTTTATCTAGACTTTCATAACCGTTCCATTCCAGCCTGTGAACTCTTGCATATGCATACCACAAGTTCTTAGCTCATTACAAAATGCCCTACGTAAGTGCTCAATAAACACTAATTGGCAGAATAAGACAAGAACTTACAGGTAAGTGTGGAAAGTGTTTGGCATTCAGCAATGATTACAGCACTGGATTTTCCAGGATGACCCCAACATCATAAATCCTTTAACAACCGCACGTGAAGCAGTACAGCATAGTAATTAAGGCATCGTTTCTGGATTCAGTCATCTTGGATTTGAATCCCAGTTCTGACAGTTATTAGCCGTGTGACCTTAAATAAATTACACACTTAATTTCTCTGTGACCCAACCTCATAACTAAGAGTTTAACTCTTGTTTGTGGTGAGGAGAGATTGAGTTTATACATGCAAAATGCTTAGAAAATTGCCTGGCACCTGGTAAACATTTCTAAGTATAAGCTATTATTTGGGATGATTAAAACTGTGCCTCTTTCCCAAAAGGACAAACAAGAAATGTTTTTGTCAGTCCGCGTGTCTTTTGCTTCAGAAACACAGTAGATATTATGTTTGTTCAATAAACACAGTAGGCATTGATCTCTTTAATTCGACAGCATTTTCTTCACACAGTTCAGATGGGGGAAAAGAGCGCTGTTTAAGGTTACATAGCATACTGAAATCGTATCCAGATCCAGAAACTAGTCATTTTCGTCCTGTGATCAACGTAGGCACTGAAGAAAAACACTTGTCAGGGCGCCTGGGTGGCTCAGTGGGTTAATAAGCCTCTGCCTTCGGCTCAGGTCATGATCTCAGGGTCCTGGGATCGAGTCCCGCATCGGGCTCTCTGCTTGGCAGGGAGCCTGCTTTCTCCTCTCTCTCTCTCTGTCTGCCTCTCTGCCTACTTGTGATCTCTCTCTGTCAAATAAATAAATAAAATATTTAAAAAAAAAAAAAAAGAAAGAAAAACACTTGTCTCCAAAGAGCAATACCTCTTCATTCTTTGGGGAAGGCAAGCAAGGTGCAGCAACACCCCTACCTTAACAGTAATGCTGCAACCCCTTGTGGCCATAAGACCTCAAGCGCAGGCGCAGCTCGCGCTCCAGCGCGCTCTGGCGCGTGACAACCGTGCTCTCCGCCCCACCCGCAACGCCTCTAAGTGCGCACGCGCACAATCCGTTCTCTGGCCACACGCGCTCCCCCCACGACGCGCACGTGCGCGTTCGCGCCGCTCATACTTCAGCGGGGGGCGCGCGCCCTGGAAAATTCCACACCCGGAGAAGCTCCACCCCTATGCGCCCTCTCCTGTGCCCTCGGCTCTTAACGCTTAGTCCCCATCCCAGCGGCCTTTGCGGGAACAAAATGGCAGCCCCCATGACGCGGGGGTTGTTTTGTTTATCCAAAGCTTTAGGATGGTGGTCTCGTCAGGTGGGTCGGGACCGGGTGGTAGGATTCTAGCGGCTGGGACCAGAGCGTAGAGGGGAATACTCGTTTTGCAGTTGTCCTTGGTGGGCTTGGGCGATACAAATCACACGCAGTTACGGAAGAGTTTGAAGTAGACGGGACCCAGCTACTGAGCTAAGTGGCGGCGTGGGGAGACCCCCGTAAAGACCCCGAGGACGAGCATATTCTCGGGATGAAGTTTCTCTAGTTTGCTCTGGGTCTGTCTAGCGGGGAGGTATTAAAGGGGAAAGAAATCATGGTTTAGAAGCTGGGCTTTCTTCTCCTTGGTTCTTATGCACAAATTGAACAGTTGAAAGGAGGGAGTCTCATATTGTCGCTGTACCTGACTGAGCAAAACTCTAAGTCAGAAAGAAGAGAGGTCTGGGCTTTAAAGATATTGCTGATCTTTTGGGAGCTAGAATGGCAGAATGAAGTTTACAGTTGGGCTCCCAATAGAATGAGCAGGATGTAATCCAAGTAAATATAAGGGAGATGCCAAGCAGAGGACTTTTCTTACCCTTTAATAATAGCATTCCTCTCTTTTCAGTGTTGGATTTATGTTTAAGTTCCCCATGGGACTGAAGGTTCTTTGAAAGCAGAAGCCTTGTTTTAATCAGCTCTGCATCCCTGGGACTTTGCATAGTTGTGTACAATGGAACGGACCAGAGGAAAGCCCTTAGTAGATGTTGAGTGGTGTTAGTAAAGGTTGCTTACGGTCTTCTAGTTAAGACACCCATAAATGTTTCCCCCATCATATGTGGCTTTATAATTGTTCCCAAGTCATTCTTTGGATGTGCCCTTCTTATCCCCTTAGAGTTTGTTCAAGATAGATTTCTTTCCAGGTCACCTTTATCATAACCTTTTCCTGTCTTACAGCCAGTCCTGGTGACGCAGTCCACAGTTGTAGTTCCAGTGAGAACTAAGAAACGTTTCACACCTCCTCCTTATAAACCCAAATTCAAATCAGAAAAGGAGTTTATGGAATTTGCCCGGAAAGCAGGTGTGGTCATTCCTCCAGAACGTTTGGAGCGTCCCCTACATCTGGCCTGTACAGGTGAGGCGTGGTATTTCTTTTTCTTTTTCTTTTTTTTTTTTTTAAAGATTTTATTTATTTATTTGACAGACAGAGATCACAAGTAGGCAGAGAGAGAGGAGGAAGCAGGCTCCTTGCTGAGCAGAGAGCCCGATGAGGGTCTTGATCCCAGGACCCTGGGATCATGACCTGAGCCGAAGGCACTGAGCCACCCAGGCGCCCCTGTATACCATATTTTAAATATATTTATTTATCTTCTGGAGAGAGAAAGAGCATGCACATGCATGAGTGGGAGGAAGCGCTTAAGGAAAAAGTCTCAAGCAGACTCCCCACTGAGCTCGGAGCCCTACTTGTGGCTGGATCCTACAACCCTGAGATCATGACCTGAGCCAGATTTAAAACTCAGATGCTTAACCCACTGAGCCACCCAGGCACCCCTCATGAGGTCATCTTTGATCTTGTTTACACACCTGTTCTTAGAAGGCAAGGGTAAAGTTTCTCCATTTTGTATAAGAAGAACTTGAGGCTCTGAGAGAAGACTTAAATTACCTTATTCTGCTTTCTGTAATGCAACAGAGCTCCCTTTGCATGGAAGTTTACTTTATTAGTCTACTTTATAGCCATGGTATCTCTTAATTTTATATGACCTCAAAATGACTTTTTTCTCAATCTATCAATGCCTTCTTGTATTCTTCTTTCATTACAGCTGGTATCTTTGACACCTATGTTCCTCCAGAAGGTGATGCTCGCTTGTCATCTCTTGCAAAGGAAGGACTGGCACAGAGAAGTGAGCGATTGAAGAAGAAGGTGGCATCACAATTGTCGTAGGTGTCTGGAACAACCGGGAATCGGTATTAGGACACAAATTTCTTGTTGCTACTTTATTTTTTATTTATTTTTTTTTAAAAGATTTTATTTATTTATTTGTTAGAGATCGAGAGAGAGAGAGCATGAGCACAGGCAGACAGAGTGGCAGGCAGAGGCAGAGGGAGAAGCAGGCTCCCCGCCGAGCAAGGAGCCCGATGTGGGACTCGATCCCAAGACGCTGGGATCATGACCTGAGCTGAAGGCAGCCGCTTAACCAACTGAGCCACCCAGGCATCCCTCTTGTTGCTACTTTAATCCAGCGAGGCCATCTTAGGTGAATTGGGTTGGACATAACTCCTTTGATAACTTGACTGTATATTTTTCTCTGTAATAGAATTTAGTTAATGTAGAAGAATATGGGCTTTTTGATTCTTAGCCTCTCAGCCTTCATTGGTCTTTTTGTCACATCAGTTGAGGGGGGTGACCTAGAAGTTCGTAGAACATTTTTTTGATCACATATTTTTTTAAATTTAAAATAATAAGAAAAGCATATTTTTATGAGGAGTACCTTAGAGTTTGAACTACAGAGAGTAAAAAGCTAAAAAGGGTCAAAAAGACAGACCTGCTTTACGGAGCTAACTAGGTCTTAATAAGGAGCGGAAGCCAAAACCTTCTTAGTCTCTTTTAGTTGCAAGGATGGAAACATTTAGTATTTGTCACTCAAAGGTTCTTTAGGATCATTTATAGATTTTGTGCAAAAGCATATTGAGTCTTTATTAATTCTTCATGTAGCCATAATTTGTTTCTCTAAATACAGATCTTATTATATCATCTTTCCATTAAACCTCTTCTGTGGCTCCCTCTTACCTGGAGAATAAATCCAGACTTCAGTGGTATTCACAGCTTTTTGTAAATCGGGCTCTTATCTTCCGTTCCACGGTCATCTTCTTATTACACTGTTCTCATCCTAAACTTCAACATTTCCAAACTAATTGCCAGTTCCTTGACGGTATTGTGCTATGACTCTGTGTCTGTGTGCATTCTTCTTTTGCCTTGAAAATATCTTCTTCCTTCTCCTTTACTTGATAACTCTCATTTCTCAAGAACCAGTTGAGCATCGTGTATGCTTTTAAGCCTTCCCTGACTATTTCTGGAGCTGCCTTTACTGTAATTGTAACTGTGCACTGACACCTACTATTTCTGGTAACTGTGCTGTGATGATTTCCTCTCACATATTTCTCTCCAGGACTGTGAGCTCTTTGGTGGTAGGGTCCATGATGATGATGAACAAAGCACATGTTTTATCATGGAGTTTTCATTTAGGGGAGGAAAACAGCCATTAAATACTGATTGCACACAATTAAATAATTACAGGTATAGTAAGTATGAGTGCTATGGGATCACATGACAGGGAAAGATAACTTGGTCTGGGAGTTCAGGGAGAGCTTCCCTGAGGAAATGACATTTAAAGCTGCGACCTACCTGTACCCCTGGGGCTAATAATACATTATATGTTAATAAAAAATAAAAAATTTTTTAAAAAATTAAAAGCGCCTGGGTGGCTCAGTGGGTTAAAGCCTCTGCCTTTGGCTCGGGTCATGATCCCAAGGTTCTGGGATCAAGCCCCGCATCCGGCTCTCTGCTCAGCAGGGAGCCTGCTTCCTCCTCTCTCTGCCTGCCTCTCTGCCTACTTGTGATCTCTGTCTGTCAAGCGGATAAATAAAATCTTTTAAAAAAATTAAAAAATTAAAAATTAAAAGCAAAATCACCTAAAAGCAAAAAGAAAAAAAAAAAGCTGGGACCTAAAGGATTTGTTGCAGTTAGCTAGGTATGGTGAGGAATAGCATTCTAGGAAGACAACAGCACAGGCAAGGCTCAGAGGCGGAAAAAGTATGAAGGGGGTGTCAGATTTTGTCAGATGCTTTTTCTTTGTCTACTGAGATGATCGTGTGATATTTTCCCTTTATTCTGTTGTTACATTGTATTTCATTAATGGATTTTTGAATGTTAAGCCAACCTTGCATTCTTGGGATAAATTTCAGTTGGTCACGGTATTTCTCATCCTCCAGTATATCTAACACTTTGATTAGATCAGAATTCCCTGTTTACATTATTATAACTATGAAAATACTGTTGACAGTGGAGTCATGCAGGACATTGTCATGACTTTTCCTGCATAATATGTTTTTTTCAGGAGTTAAGTGTGGTCTTTTTTTTTTTTTCCCCCTCATTTGCTTATGGAATATCTGGTCATATAAATTTCTTCTCAGTGCATTGAAAGCATCAAGTATTTTATTAATTTCATCTTCAAGAAGAAATCCCTCCTGGCCCTTTCTTACTTGTTTCTATCTGGACTGATTGGTCTTCAGGCCCACTGTACCTTTTGGGATCTACTTCTCTCATCCTTTTGATAAGTCCTTTTGTCTCGCCTTGATGTTGTTTTCCCTGTTTCCTGGATTTTACATCTGTCTTTCACGGTTTATTCTGTTATTCTGGTAGAGCACATTCCTCAGCAGCTTCCTGAGAAAGGGCGCTTAGTAGACACATGAAATCATTCATGTCTAAGAAACAGTCTTTTACTCTCCCACTTCATTTATAATTTGCCCAGGTGTACATTTCTGAGCTAAAAAGAATTTCCTCAGTTAACAGCACTGCTCTGTTGTCTTTCTAACTTCTAATGTTTCTAGTTAGAAGCCTGCCGTCATTCTTATTCTTGAGCTTTTGAGTAAAATCTGTGTTTTCTTTCTTAGTGCTTATAAGATGTTTTCTTTAATGCCAGAATTCTGAAATTTCACTATGAGAAGCCTTGGTCTTTCTTTAGAATGATTGATGTAAGTGTGAATTAGAAGATTGACTTTACAGGACTTGGCACATTCAGAAGACAATTATTGAATAAGTAGACAGACATTAATGACAGTTAATGTAAGCTGTGAGTTATGGATAGTGTATAAAGTCTTTAAGAATGATTCTTGGGGTGCCAGCCTGGCCTAGTTGGTAGAGCATGCAACTCTTGATCTCGGGGTCGTGAGCTCAAGCCTCACCGTGGGCATGGAGCTTACTTAAAAGGCAGAAAAAGAAATGATTCTCATACTTAATTTTACAGAGTCCGGAAGATAAGACAGTATGATCCGAATTTTAAAATAAAGGACTTCCCTGAAAAAGCTAAGGATATTTTTATTGAAGCTCACCTTTGTCTGAACAAGTAAGTGAATTCTATGTTATACCTGTTATGTTTTCAGCAGCTGTTATTCTAGGCACAGGTTTTTTTTTTCCTTTGGTTAAGAGTTCTAGAGTGATCTAGATAAGTCTTGGTGTGTGTTTGAGCCAGCCGGCGGCCCTAGGTTCAGTTTTTAATGTTAATTTCATATCTTAGGAATTCTTTCATCATACAGGTGTCATAAATTCTGTGTCCAAATCTGAGTATAATGTGGGCTTAGTACTTTAATTTTTTTAGTACCCCCAGCTCAGCCCTTGACGGAGAGAAGCTTTATCTTTCTACTATTTTTGTAGTTTTCCTTTGTTGCAGGTGCAGGACTCTCATTTCCAACTCCCTGCTCTTTGAGGGTTCAAGGATTTAGGAAGAGTCTGTTCCCAGCCATCAGATCCTATTTCTGGATCCCTGTAACCATCCCATATGCTTTCATGATGTCAGGTGGTGGTCTTTCCATTCTGGTTTTAGCTCTCCTTCCTTTTAGCACCTAGGAGATTTACCTTTCATGTGAACTAGAGCATTTTAAAATGTGTGTGTATCTGTGTATATTACATTCCATCCAGCATTTCTAGATGTTTATAGTGGGAATAGTTTCACATGCACTCAGTCCATTATGTTGCCAGAAATGAGTATCTTCCTTTTCTTTTTTGGTGCAAGTCTATCATAAATGCTAAGTGAACTCCTAGATAAGGGAGTTTATTTCTACTGAAGATCTCAAGGCCAGGATAGTGAGGAGGAAGAGTTCATTGAGGGGTGCCAGGCCTGGTGGTTGCTGTAGTTGTCATCCCCACTCAGGTTAGTCTGGTCTAGTCTAATCTAGAGCTACAGCGGGGGAAATGACTTGGGGGAGATGACCTTTCCTGTTAGGAGTAGAGGTGCAAGGGAAGCACGTGAACAGAACTAATCCCTTACCCACTCTGGGATTAGGGACAAGATTGTTTGAAGGAACAAAGATGTAAACTTCCCGGGAGGTATTAAACTGTGGGGAAAAGTCATGAATGTATATCTGAAAGACAGTAATTCATGCCTGACCTCAGGCTTATTTGAAACCCCTCAGCTAGGAACCTTCTAAAATCCTATAGATCCAGGAGCTGGGGTTTGCTGTCTATTTTCTTGCTATTACTGGGTAGAGTCAGCATGACTAGGTCACTCTGGTAGCAGCAAGGATTGGGGGAGGTGCGGGTGGGGTGGAAGGAAAGGACCAGAAAAGACAGCTGCTTGTCTTTTGGCTGGGTTCACAGACAGTGTAAGATGTGGGGCGCCCAGCTGGCTCAGTCAGTGGAACGTGTGACTCTTAATCTCAGGGTTGTGAATTTGAGCCCCATGTTGAGTTAGAGATTATTTAAAAAAAAAAAAAAAAAAAGTCAAAGGTGCAAGGCCAGTCCACTTGGTATTGGTGATGTGTCTGAGGTAAGAGGAGATGAGCTTTTTGTTTTTTTGTGATGGATTTGTGAGGGTCTCTTCCCCTTCCTAAGGATGCCGGGTATTTTCTGAGAAATTTGTTTCTGCTCTTGAGATTCAAACATAACTTCACTCTGCAATTAGATTTCAGGGTCTTTTAACCATGTTCATCTTTGTTTGCTCGGGACTTAGCATATTACCTGGCTTATTGTAGGCATGCAAAAATGTTTGTAAAAAGACTTGTTGTCCATATTGAGGGCCATTTTTAGCTTTCAGAAGTGGCATCATAAAGCAAGAGCCAGTGATGTATATCTTTTTCTTTTTTAGCTCAGACCATGACCGGCTTCATACCTTGGTAACTGAAAACTGTTTTCCGGTAGGTCCTCAACTTCCTTAGAACTGTGGGATTCCTGAATGGGCAGATTCTAGACATCACCTCTGGTTTAAGAAGGATCAGTTTCACAAATACAGGAAGTTAAAGGCAAAAGCTGAAGTTCCATTGTTTTGGGGTGAATGGTACTGACTTGGCCATGGACTTTGGTAAGAGCTCTTTGGACAAGGAAGGAGGAAGTCCCACAGCAAGCAGTACTGAAACCTCAGGCTGTGGGGGCTGAGGTCATGGTGTGGGCCATATTAGGCAGCCCTCTGTGCGCCTGCAGTATAATAAAGGATTTAGTGAGCATTCATGAAGCTTACATAGTGTGTTAACTGGGTGCTAGGTGCTATGTGGTTCAAGAATAAGAACTTTAGGGGTGCCTGGGTGGCTCAGTGGGTTAAAGCCTCTGCTTTCAGCTCAGGTCATGATCCCAGGGTCCTGGGATCGAGCCCCATGTCGGGCTCTCTGCTCAGCAGGGAGCCTGCTTCCGCCTCTCTCTCTCTGCCTGTCTCTCTGCCTGTGATCTCTGTCAAATAAATAAATAAAATCTAGAAAAAAAAAAAGAATAAGAACTTTAGGGACGCCTGGGTGGCTCAGTTGGTTAAGCGTCTGCCTTTGGCTCAGGTCATGATCCCAGGGTCGTGGGATCGAGTCTTGCATTGGGCTCCTGAGCAGGGAGCTTGCTTCTCCCTCTCCCTCTGCCTGCCACTTCCCCTGGTTGTGTGTGCGCATGTTCTCTCTCTGACAAGTAAATTTAAAAAAAAAAAAAAAAAATCAGCATTAAAAAAAAATAAGAACTTCAGTTTCTATCCGTTCAGCCTCATCTCCCTGTGGTCACGTATAATGATCTGGTCCTCGCCGGCTAGCCTTTATATCTCTGTAAAATCCCATTCTTCAGTGTCAGCAGGTGAGGGGGATAAGACAACATGTATGCAGTCAACAGATACACGTGCAGTAACTAGCAGATTATGAAAGTGTAAGGGAGGGGCATCCGGTTGGCTCTGTGGGTAGAGCGTGCCACTCTTGATCTCGGTGTTGTAGGTTCAAGCCCCATGTTGGCTGTAGAGATTACTTAAAATCTTTAAAAAAGAACAGAGTGTAAGGAGGAGAGGGTAATGGCATATTAGATAAGTTGGCATTTTGGAGTGTGGTTTTCACTGATTTGAAGAAGGTTGCTTAAGAAGGTAGGTGGGTCTTGAGTTGTTGATCTGGGTAAATACGATTATTTTGAGGTGGGCTTAAGGAAGGACGCACCAGCTTCCCTAAAGGAAAGGAAAACCCCAGCTGACCTGTTCTCCTCTGCCCTCAGGACATGGTCTGGGACATCACGTACAAGACCGTCCGCTGGAGCTTCGTAGAATCCTTAGAGCCACCACAGGTGGTTCAGGTCCGCTGTTCAAATTTGCTGAACCAAGGCAACATATATGGCCAGATCACTGTCCGTCTGCACACCCGGCAGGTAGAGGCACCAGTCTGCTTTCCTCCTAGCTTTTCTTCACTTTCAGGTTGGGTGCCTGCCTCTAGAGTCTTAGGGACTCTAAGACTGGGCTCTAAGGAATGGTTCACTGTGGTCTTCCTTGCTCAGTCAGCGTGCCCAGCCCACTGCTAGATGTTAGCTCTGCTAAGACAGGTGCGAGGATACTCTCTCCATCCTGATCCTCCCTCCCCCACCTCCCCAGCCCTAGTCAAAAACCCTCCAGGAGTAGTGTCTGCAGTTGATCACTTAATTATTCTAGATTTAGAATTCTGAAATATTTCTCCTACCCATTAGAAGTTTTTGTTATGGTTGTTTTCAGATGGGTTGTGTGGCATTAAAAAAATTAAAAACAAAGAAAAATAAAAACAAAACAAGAAACCAACTCTGAGTACTCACAGTTCAGATTTGCTTTCATCCTTGCAGACTCTGGCAATCTATGACCGGTTTGGCCGCCTGATGTACGGACAGGAAGATGTGCCCAGGGATGTCCTGGAGTATGTTGTGTTTGAAAAGCACCTGGTAAATCCCTATGGGAGCTGGAGAATGCACGGCAAGATTGTTCCCCAGTGGGCACCCCCTAAGCAGCCCATCCTTAAGGTAAGGGTGGTTTCAGAGAGCTGGGGGGTGCTTATGCCATCTTAAGCCACCCCTGTTGGGCTCCACCTAGTGGAGAGAAGGGGTGATGCAGCACCAGGAAGGGGAGTCCTCCATGGAGGAGGTGAGGGTGAATCTCTTCTGGGTAAGTCATGGGCTTGGATGGTAGGTAACTCAGCTTCCTGCTCTTTCAGACGGTGATGATCCCTGGGCCCCAGCTGAAACCCTGGGAAGACTATGAAGAGCCACAGGGAGAGGCCCCTCAGCTTCAGCTGTCCTGATTGGAAAAATGACTCTGGGTTGAAACATGGGTAATGAGTTGGCTGGATGCTGTGGAGTCTGGGAGCTGTGAAGTCCATCATCTCTCCATCATGCTGTAGAAAGATCTGCCTTTGTCCTTTCTTGTCCTACTTGGGTGTTTCCAGCCATCTCGGCAGCTATGGCTGATGGCTGGGCCCAGGTGGGTGGCTGGCTGATACATACACAGCCACGAGCCCACTTCTTCTTCCTTTTAAAATTGTATATCTAGCTTCTGAGTCTCAGTGGAAAGTATGTTTTGGATACCTGTTTTTTTCAGCGGCAGAGACCATCAGGAAGCAAACTGGCAGAATTTTCTTTTTAATTACAATGTAGAGATTAGAGTTTGAAATAAAACACTGTCAGAGTGTTGGACAAACTGTGGTGAGTTGTGTACCTGTCTGTGGGCTTAGACTAGAAGTAGACCAGAGGGCAGAAATGGAAGATGAACTGAACTGTGAGTGATGTGGCTTCTAAGAAATCCAGACGTGGGGGCGCTTGGGTGGCTCAGTGGGTTAAAGCCTCTGCCTTCGGCTCAGGTCATGATCTCAGCATCCTGGGATCAAGCCCGGCATCGGGCTCTCTGCTCAAGCGGGGAGCGTGCTTCCTCCTGTCTCTCTGCCTGCCTCTCTGCCTACTTGTGATCTCTGTCTGTCAAATAAATAAATTAAAAAAAAAAATCTTTAAAGAAATCCAGACGTGGGAAAAACAGTTAGTGTTTATTGAAGGTTCAAGGTCTTTTCTCACATACTGACTAGATATACATCTAATCAGCATTTGTATTTCAGAGAAGATTGTAAATCCAGAGAAATCATTTATCCTTTAGCCTTTGAACTGTGTTCCTAATTATCAGCTGCATCCTGGTGTGGTCCCAGGAAGCATGGGAAGAGGCAGGGGCCACGGAGGAGGTGATACATCTGGGAAATCCATCTCTAAGACTTTGTTCCCTGATTTCTAGAACCTTTTAGAGATGGCGACTGTTCTTTCCAGCCCCCGCTGGTAAGGCAAATGTACTAGAATACGAGTCTGTTTGGAGCGAAGAGCCTGGCCCCATCTTGTTCCTGAGTTCTAGCTGGGCTATCAGGAGGAGGGTGTGGGACTTCACCTGCTTTCGTATCCTGGCTGGTCCGAGGTATGACAAGGGAAATCACTTTGTACCAGCAGCAAGCTTGGCTGGTACTATTACTTTCATCAACCCAGTGTGGGCGCCCCTTAAAAAACAGGACCTTAATTATCATACTTCCTATTTTCCCAGCCTAAAATTTTCTTTTAATGAGTCTGTTACTTAGGGTCAGGATTAATCTGTTCTGACTTTATCCTGAGAGCAGAGTCCAAAGAAACTAGAATCAGGTCAAGAATAACCTAACTCCAGGCGCCTGGGTGGCTCAGATGGTTAAGCGTCTGCCTTTGGCTCAGGTCATGATCCTTGAGCCCTGGGATTGAGTCCCACATTGGGCTCCCTGCTCAGTAGGGAGTCTGCTTCTCCCTCTTCCTGTCATGCTCCCCCTGCTTGAGCTCTCTCACTCTGTCAAATAAATAAATTCTTAAAAAAAAAAGAAAAACCTAATTCGGGCTGCCTGGGCAGCTCGGTCAGTTGAGCAACCAACTCTTGATTTCAGCTTAGGTTGTTATCTTTGGGTCCTGGCATTGAGCCCCAAGTTGGGTTCCACACTAAGTGGGGAGTCTGCTTGGGATTCTATCTCTCCCTCCCCCTCTGCTTCTCCCCTCACTCACACACTCTCTCAAATAAGTTCATTTAAAAAAAAAAGAACCTAACTCCTTAGTCTCTCTAAAACTACCACGTCAGCAAGGCAGCCAACAGACCAGTCCTCACTGGGGAAAACTGATGTTTTTACAACAGCTGCTGAATGCCGACGCTGGGAACGAGATGTGTATGCCTAGGGGAGAGGCAGCGCTGGTGGGTTAATCCGAAGCAGCCAGTCTTGATCATACTACTTAAGTCTCAACCCTTTTGGCTTAAAATGTACATCAGTTTGCAGCATTTTCGCTGAAGTGAGGTTTGGCCACATCCTATTTGCCTGAGCCCTGGATTAAGGCAAAATGAGAAGGCAAGTGCTATCCGCAGGATCCACAGCTGGGCACTGTGGAGTGAGGGGAAGTAATCCAGGGAGGGGAGGAGAGCAGAGAAAGGAAAGAGTGCACTTACTGGGCACGTGACCGACTGATTTCTCTGACTATGTAAAAACAGTGCTTCAAATGAGCTGTTTCCTCCCACTCCCCCAGATGGGTCTCAGGGGTCTCCAGATAATCCGGAATAGCTGCTGAGCACTAGCTGCCACAGGCAGCCAGAGGATAAGTGCCGTTTCCATTTTCCCTTGGGATCAGATCCAGCCCAGCGAATGGCCCAGATGTAAAGGATTGGCTCGAAGGCCTAGGCAGAGTCCCTCTGCGGTGCCAGCCACGGAGATGGGGACTGGCTGACAATTAGCCAGACCGCCCCGAAGCCCCAAAGGCCGGAAGGCTGCAGTGTAGTTACCTCGGGCTAACTCTTGTTTCCCTACCTGTCTACTGTGCCTATTTAAAAACGTTGGAAAAAGAAAATCACCATAATGAATAAGCTGGAGCTAACATGAAAGAAAAAACAAGAAAAAACATAATTTTTTTCCCATGGTTTATTTCTCAGTAGGGGTTATAGGAACAACTTTTCTGTTCCCAGCGAGACCCGACCCAATGGACTTGTTCTGATGTGTGGTTAGCAAACTTCTCATCAGCTTAGAAGCGGGGAGGTTAACTAGCCAGAGCCCAGAGCAGCAGCACGCTTTAATTACTGCTCTGAAATCCCAGGGCAAGGGACCAGGTAAGTGGGAGAGGCTAGATAGGAGAACAAGGGCATCTGGTCCCTGAAAGACTGGTTTTTTCCATTCTTTGTTTTTGGAAATGGAGGATTTTGTTACTTTTTCTGGCAAAGTCTTGAAGCTGCCCAGAGTATGTATATGCAGACTCATTTTTTCCCCCCATTGGGTATTTGGTCTCTTTGTTTTGTCTTCTTCTCCCCTGTGAATGGCATCAGGGTCCACGCAGTTAGAGGGCAGGCTTACTGTCATCTTCAGGGTCCCTGCCAAGCTCTGCCATGTCTAGTCTACCTGTTTCCTCCCCCACACCTAACCCCTGCCAATGCCAGGGCTTTGACCAGTGCTTTTCTCCTTCCTCACTTCCCTCTGATAGTATCCTCTCATTCCAGCACTCTTCTCTAGGACCAGTTAAGCAAGGGTAGCCTGAACTGAACTCACTTGAGAGGATAGAGCCGAGCTCACTAAGAAAAAGGCTTTGTGTTTCTATGATGCCCTTTCCCCCACCTTCAGACCTCGAACCTGCCTGGTAGGGTTACTCTTTCTGAGGACAGTTCTTGGCGCCGGCCGTAAACAGGGCCTGCTTGCTTTCTTGCTTCTTGGAAAGGCAACTGATGCGGGCCTCTTGTTACTGAGCAAGTGATTTGGAGCGGTACTCACATCAGAACCAGAAACCCCTGGCTCCCGTTATACCAACAGCTGAGCAGGTTCCCTTTGATGACAGCCCTGGAAGCCTGGGAGGAGAACGAGTCAGAGAGGTGAACTCGAGATGCAAAACATGGGGCAGAAGTGGGGAGAAACCATCTGAAAAAACTAGTAAGGGGCACAAGCAGATGGAGAGGGTGTCTGGAAGGGAGGGCTCCCCCTGGGAGGACTTGGAGCCACTGCCTTACCTCCTGTGCGCTCCATCTCTGGTGTTGCTTTGGAAGCCACATGTTGGTAAGGAACTAAGATTGCCCGATTAGCTCTCCATCAGCAGCCAGCAGGGTGGGCATGAGGATCAATACGGCAGAAGGGGAGAGCCAAAGTCAAGATGGCAAGGTCCTTAAGGCATTTCAGACCCCTCTTGAGCCATTTAAGTTTTTCCCCAGACTTATGCTTGAACTTGAATTAAGTGACTTCTCAAGCTGCCTATGGTGACCTTCACAGCCTTCCTCAGTCCCTAGTACTGCCAGTGCCTTGCATGGTTTCATTTCTTCTCAGAAAATGGTCAAGAAAGGGGGTCTCCTTATGAGAAAACGTGGGCTGGGCCTGCTGACTTCTTTCACCCCTGACACTGGCTGCAGAAGCGGGTGTCCAGACACAAATCGTGTTGAGTCCTTTGGATGGGAGGATTCCCCTGAAGCAGAGGGTCTGGCCTTTGTTCTCTGGAGCAGGAACAAGAGTAGGAAGTGAAGAAGGGGTGAGACTCTTGGGGTCTGAGCCACCCGGTCTTGTACAGTTTGTCTCAGAATGAGTTGACTTCTGGCCTTGTTGGAGAGGGAAGTGGCCCAGTGTCTCTGACTCGGCTCTTTGGGAACACGTAGGACTTGAAAAGGACCTTGGCCTCTGAAAACCAGCCGCCCGATATTCGACTTCACGTGATGGCATTGTTACTCACAGTCCCAAGGACAGACCATTGGCGGGGAGAGTTCTTCCTGTGGAGCTGTAGAAGCCCCTTCTCCTTGGTCTCCAGTTAGGGAGGAAGATTCCTGAACCTCAGCTTCTTGGAGACTCGGCTCTGGGGCTGAGCTCGTCCTCAGCCCACGTCCTGAGGCTCCTTGGAGTTCTCTGACACCTTCCGGAGTAAAAGTACTGCCTGCCTTACTCACCTCAGGGCGGGCGCTTTTGCTTTCTGGAAGGAAGCTACCCAGAGGACTGTGGACTAAAAGGCATGGTGGGTTCTCAGGGTCTGTGGGGAAAAATACTTCCTTCTGAGTTGCTGTTGAAGCCAGAAGGCCGGATTCCTCAGATGGCACTCCAGTTCCCTCCCAGTCACAGACATCTGCCATGATGCCCTTTATCTTATTCCCTTCTGGATCTGTGACTTCCCACTGACACACCTCTGCCATCCTGCTCCTTGCACGGCTGGCTCCCTGGGGACTGCATGTGGGATGGCCAGTGCTGGGAGCATCTGGCTGGGGGCGGGGCGTCCCCGAACCTCTGCCTTCCTGGGGGCACACGGTCTCCTGCTCTCGGCTGACTTTTGCTGCTTCTTTGGAAATGTGTTCTTCCGTCCCTCCAGAGGCTGACTTCTGAAGGTACATTTCTCCCTGCCCTCGGGACTTTCCGTCCACCTCTTGCCCCAGTCCCCCTTTCTCTGCAGCTTCCTTATTCACCTCCCAAGGGCAGATTTCCACTTCTTTAGCAGATGGAGCTGCTTCTGCTTCCCACGGACCCACTGCTGCCACCTTGGCCCCCACACTGCCTGCTGCCTCCGAACTGCCTTTGCGCCTGTCAGAAGCTCGCGGGGCTGGCTGTGGAGACAGCTCCCCACAGTCTTGACTCTCCCAGGGACACACCGCCTCCTGTTTCCCATCTGCCCTCTCTGGCTTCTCCTGAACCGCCACAGCTTTGGGCTCTGGTCTTCCCGGGGCTCTCCCCTTCTCCTCTTGAGGTGGCCCTTTTCCATCCTGGCTTGCCGTCCCTTCGTCTGGGGCCCTTTCAGGCACCTCCCAGGGGCAGATGGCAGCTTTGGTGCTGCTGTCAGGTTTAGGAGCATCTAAGGCGGGAGCATCCCGCAGGCACACCTCAGTGAGCCTGCCCCCGACGCTGGCCGGTGTCTGAGAGCCAGCTGTAGGCTGGTCACGGCCCTGATGGTCAGGGTGAGAGACAGCGCCTGCGGGGGCCATGCTTTCCCAGGGACAGACAGAGTGTAACTCATTGCTTGCTTTTCCCCCATGGTCAGTAGTGAATTCTCCTACTTTTGAAGATGGAGCTCTTTCTGGGGTTTTGTGTCCTGGGAGGGAGCCCGTCTTTGGGTCGTGTGTCAGGTGCTCTTTCTCTGCTGCCTCATCCCTCACTTCCAAGGAATGTCCCTCAGCCACTTCACGACTCATGCTGACGGATGAGTCTGAGACCTCAGGGCCCTCCACCAAGGGTTCCCTCAAGCCCTTCTCCCAAGGACAAACAGCTTCCTGCTCTTGACTCTGTTTTGTCTCCCATTTTGGTATGTCTTCTCCCAGGGAGGTGAGTCTCTCCTTTTCTAGAGTTTTCTCCCCCTGCCCTGCTAAGTCACTCCTCCTCTCTTGGTCCAGTCCTGTCCCAGAAGCTCCTTCATTCGCCTCCCACGGACAGATCTTGGCTTTCTCACTGGCAGGGGCCTCCTCCACTTCCCAGGGACACACCTCAGCTGCCCGGCAGCCCACGTGGTCCAGTTCCTGGAATCCAACTTTTGGTCTCTCTGTGCCCAGAGAGTCCGAATGCCAAGAGGAGCCGCCTGGATCCAAGCTTTCCCAGGGACAGGCCACCTCCCGCTCCCAGGCTGGCCTCTCTGGCTTCTCTGGAGCAGTAACAGCTGTCTTGCTGGGTCCAGGATGTGCAGAAACCTTTCCTGTGTCATTTGGAAATTTCCCAAAGGCCTCAATTCCCAAAGCCCTTTCCTGCCCTGCTCCAGCACCCACCTCCCAGGGACAGACCTCAGCCTTCTCAGCAGACACAGTGTCCTCCATATCCCATGGACAGATCTCTGCAGCTTTGCTTCCCACACTGCCTGACATGTGGAAACTGGCTCTGGGTCCATCTGCTTTTTGAGGGCCTGATTGTGGGGAGAAGCTGCCAGGGTCCACATTCTCCCAAGGACAGACTGCTTCCTGCTTTTGGATCTGTCCCTCAGGCTCTTCCCCAGCTGTGCCATCTTTGATCCCTGACATCCCAGGCACTTTCTCCTTGTCCTTTTGAGATTCTCTTGCTTTTGCTGTCTGGTCCAATGTCCAGTCGTCCCTTATTCTTTCATCTACCTCCCAGGGACAGAGTTCTGCCCTGGCAGGTGTTACTTCCTTTGGCTGTGGCCTGGGATCTTCCCGGGGACCTACCTGTGTTGCTCTGCTTCCTCCCTTGCTAAGGAATTGGCCACCAGCTTTGGTTGAGGAATTATCTAGACATGGGCGGGAGGGCCCAGGGTTTGAGGTCTCCTGGGGACACACTGACTCCTGCTGTTGATCCCTTTTCTGCACTGCCTTCCCAGCCTGTTCTCCCATCTCTCCCATCTCTCCAGGCTTTCCAGGAAAAACCTGTCTGGAGGCTTTCCCCTCTTCCTGGAGAAAATTTCCCCCTGTCCCCTGACTCAGCATTTCCTTCCCCACTACCTCATCACCTAGCTCCCAGGGACAGATCTCTGCTTTCCTGGTAGGAGCATCTCCTGCCTCCCACGGACACACTTCTGAGATGCTACTGTCCACACTCCCGGAGCATCCAGGGGCTCCTGGAGCCGGAGTGGAGACTGCTGAGGGGCCCCGGAAATCTGTCCTCTCCCACGGACAAAAAGACTCCAAGTTCCCACTCAGTTTCTGTTCTTTCCAGAAGGTTGCTTTCTTGGAGGTTTCCTGCTTTTCCTGGGGAAGCTTCTTCATGCCCTCCTGGAATGGTTTCCCATTCCCTCCCTCACATGCCTCCCAGGGACAGAGCTCTGCCTTGGCAGTGTCAGCTGTACAAACTTCTGGGCCTGTGCCCTCCTGCTGATGCTTCTTCACCTCTCCAGCCTCTTTCCTGCCCACTGCCTCAGACATGCCCTTGGTTCTGTCAGAGTCCTGAGAGACTGACCAGCAGGACAGACTCCCAGGATCGGCGCCCTCCCAGGGACACACGGCCTCCTGCCCCCTGACCAGCCTCTCTGGCTTTTTCCGAGCAAAAACCACCACACTTTGGGGCTCTGACTTTTCTGAGGCTCTCCCTCTCTCTTGGGAGTCATCGAGATCTTGTCGTAATGCCCCCTTCTCAGGGGCTCCTTCGCTCGCCTCCCAGGGGCAGATCTGGGCCTTGTAGCCACGGTCAGGCTGACACACTTCTGACTGGGTGACTTCCCTGGGGCACATCTCTGCCATCCTGCGGTCAGCTCCGCCCAGGGACTGGAGGCCAGCTTTGGGCAGTTCCCGCCACACAAAAGGGGCTTCTTTTGCTCCCTCAGCACTTTTGTCCCCAACTATGCCTTGACTGGCTTGCCTCAGTGTAGCAGACCCTGCTTTACCTGCTCTCTCTCCTTTCCCCTCTCCTAGACAGTGGGATGTCCTCCTGCCTCTGTCTTCTTGTTCCCTGCTGCCCTCCCGGCGACAGACTTGAAGCATTCTGCTGGTGTGAGCGTTCTGTTGGTTCTGGAGGGACTCCTCGTCATCACAGGGTGCAAGGGCGGCCTGCTTACTCACAGCCTTGGGCCGGCTTAGCCTGGGGGACCTGGGGCATGGCCCCACACCCTCGCCCTCCACTGCAGCTCTGCCTTTCTCCTCTGTCTCAGGACTCCCTTCCCCGCTCTCCTTCTCTTTGTGAGTGCTCCGGGAACGAGTCAAAGCTTTGATAGCCAGGCCTAGACTGTGCACGGAAACCTGCTGAATGGGGGTCTTGAGGCTGTGGGATTTAGAGAAGACCTTAGACTTGTCCTCATTGCCCTCATCAGCTCCCCCTTGGAGGCGTCCATCCTCTGTGTTCCCCGCATTCTCCCCTGTGCTCCTTTTCTCAACTGCAACAGAGAGGGCTCTCCAGAGCTTGGCCCGAGCTGGGGAAGGGGAGAGGCTGCTCCGCTCTGGCCCTGTGGGGCTTTCTTGAGCCACATTTCCTTTCTTGACTGGCAGTTCTGCATTCTCCCAGGGGCAGATGAAAGGGAGTAAGTTGGGGCTTTGGGGGGGGCACGAGGATTGGTGCCAGGACAGGGACTGGTGTTGGGGCTGGGGCTGGGGCTGGGACCGGAGCCGGGACCGGGGCTGGGGCTGGGGCCGGGGCCGGGGCGGGAGCTGGCATCAGAACTGGAGCCAGGGTGGAGGTGGGAGACAGCATCCTTGGCTCTCCCAGGCCCGCTCCAGACAGGGTCATGATGGGTGTGGAGACCTGGTGCCGGACGGGCGGGTGAGGCAGCCTCCTGGCAGCCTCCTCCTGAAGCCTCCCTGTGGCAGCGGCGGCCGTGTGGGAGCCGTCCACACTGCGGCTCTTGGCCGGGGATGGTGGGGCTGACAGGGGGGCCCCTCGAGCTCGCTCCAGCCTCCTGGCCGACGGCCTCCTCACTGGGCTCGCCAATGCTGCCTCGGCCTTCTTCCTCTCCTCCCGCTCCTTGGCCTGCCGATAGGTCTCCTCCAGGTAGGCCTGGCTGGCCTTGAGCAGGGCCTTTTCCCTGGAGCCCGCCACCACGCTGAGAGACTTCTGCAGGGACGTGGGCCTGGCCCTGGGGAGCCTCTCGCACACCGTCAGGTTGTGGGCGCTGGCGGACCTGAAGCCCAGGGCAGGGGGCCCCTCCACCGACTCCCGACTCTCCCTGCTTTCCCTCGAGGCCTTCTTGGCCAGCTTCCTGCGTAGCAGCGAGTCAAGGAGCGGTGGGTCCTGCTCCCGGCGGTGACCCTGGCGCTCGTGGTCATAGGTGCTGCGGGACTTGCACAGGGCCGGGGTCCCCTCGGGGTTCTGGAGGCTGGAGCTGAGGAGCCGGCGGCGCGAGGAGCCAGGCAGGCTGCCCAGGCCAGGGGAGCCCAAGTCCCGGGAGTGCTGGCGGGCCAGGGCCTCCGGGAACTCGGCCAGGTACCTCATGAAGGAGCGGCCCAGGCCCTGGCGCGAGCTGCCTCGCTTCTTGGGCAGGTGCGGGTTGTTTGCAGCCATTTCCTTGGTCTTGTGGACCTCGAGCTGGGCATAGAGCTTCTTCAGCTCATCCTGCGGGGAGGGAGGCATGAGGGGAGCAGATGGAGCATGGAGCTCTCTCCAGGGCCTGACTGCCCTGCCTCCCGCTCTCCCAGCCATTATTTGGACCATTTTCTCTGGAGCATCTCTTCCCACCAAGGTGTGTCCCTTCCCTGCTTAGACAACCCTCAGGATCCACCTGTCCTCTCTCACATCTGCTTGGTTCTGAGGATGCGGGGGGCACTCCTTTTTCTGTGATCTGATGGAAGCCACTTGCCTGGGTGACAGGAAGCCTGGGTTCCAGGCTGCTGACCCAGCATGTGCATGAAGGCTGTTTTCTTTTTTTTCAGATTTTATTTATTTGAGAGAGAGGATGAGTGGGGGTGAGGGGCAGAGGAAGAAGCAGACTCCTTGCTGAGCACAGAGCTTAATCCCAGGACATCGGGCTCGATCCCAGGACTCCAGGATCTCGACCAAAGATTAAGGCAGCCACTCAATGGACTGAGCCACCCAGGCGCCCCCTGAAGGCTCTTAGAGCCTCTGCTTCTACGAGGTAACAAGAGCTGGCTGCCTCCTGTGAGCGTCCTCAGGAGGGTCACGTGAGATTGATGGTGAGAGAAGTGCTCTATTCGGGTTCAAGTGCGGGAATGGGAATTTGAGAACCTTCTACTTTGGATTCCTCCTCAGAGCCAGCATCGGCATAGGGACGGAGACTGCGTGCTGCTCCGCAAAGTAGGGGTACGGGCTGGCATTGCTGTGGCCGAGCACCTCCACACTCTCTGGCCTCCCAGCTCGACTGGGGCCTCAGTTCAGCCTCTTCCCCAGGAGGCAGAGCCCAGAAGGGGAGGAGGACACGGGGGAAAAACAGGCAGAGGCAGCTAGGACAAGGACGAGTTGGGAGATGCAAACAAGTCAGGGGTACAGGGAGGCCCCAGGGGAGATGGAGACAATGGGCAAAATGGCTTCCTGAGGTTGTTCCCACACCTTGGGTTTCATCAAACAACAGGCTGAGACCGCCAGGTTTCCTTATTTCCTACCCACTGAGCTTCTGATCTGGGTTCCATGACTATGATGCCCCTACACTGAAAAAGAAGGGCAAAGATGCTCTCCTGATGTAAGACTTCCCTTCTCTAAGACTTCCCTTCTCTAAGACTGCCAAGTCCAGGGAATGGGTGTCCTGATGTGGAAATCTCTGGTAGTCGCTAACCGTGTGAACTATGCAGCCCCGTGGTTGGCCCTGGGGTCACCAAGTGCCCAGATGTCCTGTCCCTCACGACTGCCCCTGCTGGGTGGGAGTGGAGCGCCACCCACCGCCCTGCCTCTCACTTGCCAAGTGGCCTGGGTTTCAGGGATGCATGTTCTGGGCTTCTGGTGGTCTCTTCACTTAGGTGGTGTGTGAAGGCATCTGAACAGTCAGGGGAGGCGGCTGGAGAAGGGAAGGAGGAAAGGAGGCAGGTCTTCTAGAGAGGGAAAGTGAGGGCCAGGGGAGGGGCCTGCAGGATACACGGCCCAGGCTGCAGGGCAGCAGTGATCCTGGCCCAGTCTCTAAAAGCAAGCATCCAAAGGAGGCGAGGAGGCTGTCTCCTACCCGGATGTCTCCGGCGTCCAGGCTGCGGTCGCTCCAGGCTGAGGCGTTGCTGCTGTCCAGGTAGGAGCCTGAGCACTGCAGGTCCAGCTCGTCCTCATACACCTCATCCACCATCTCTTCTCGGGGAGGAGCCCCCGGCTTCTGGAACTGGCCAGGGTGGGTGTGACGGCGGGGAAAAAAAAGAGTCAGCTCTGCTCCCTGTTTACTCCTATTCCCACCTGCTCCGGGGAATCCATCTTTACTTGGGACACCTTCACCCCCTCTCTAATTCGCAATTCTGAGGGCAGGAAGAGTTTTGCTCTCTGTCATCCTCCCTGATTTTCTTTAGCTCAGAGACTGGGGAGAGTGGGGTCCGACGCAACTGCCCCCACAATTCCTAGCCATGGCCTTCAGCTCCCTGACCTATCTCTCTGTAACTGCTTCCAAGTTGATTTTTCAGAGTCCACCACACTAAACTGCTAGGTGTGTTACAAAGACCCCTCCTGCCCTAGCTCTGATTTCCTTTGCCCTCATATGGGAGGCAGAGAGAAACAGTCGCTTCCTCCCCACCCTCCACCCCAAGCGGGCTCCTCCCACAGGCCCCTGCGGCTCCGCCCACTCTCCCCCAGGGTGTCATCCTCACTCTGACCTGAAGAGGGCGCTGCGGCGGCGGCAGATCCACGGTGCCCTTACCAAGGGGCTGGGGTAGGCTCACAACAAGGAGGGGGGAGACCTCACCTTAGGAATGAAGATCAGAGCCAGTGTGGTGGTGACGGTGCTGTGGGTGTGGAAGAAGAAGAGGAGCAGGGTCCAGTCTGGGTGCAGGGAGGGAACCAGCAGAAACCTGAGGGTGTGAAGGAGGGGAACATCAGCTCTCGGTGGCAGGGGCCTCTTCTCCCTCACCTGTCTCACTGGCTCACCTCCTAGCTTCAGTCCTGATCTCTGTGGAGCTTCTGGGTGGGTTGAAAAGGGCACTTCTTCTTCTTGCCCTCTCAAGGATGTAGGTCCTACCTCAAGGCTCACATTAACCCCCACCTCTGAGAAGCCTCTCCCAGACTACTCTTCTCTGGTCTCCTAGAGCACAGATTCGTGCTCCCAGCTCTGTTATGGATGCCCTGTGGGTTGATTCTGCCTTTGCCACACCACCAAGTCCTTGTGAACATTCACAGTAGGCCTGCTGCTGGAGGGGCTGAGGTGTGAGGGGGAAAAAGGCAGGGAGAATTGAGCATGTGTAGGAGGGAGCACAGTGGAGGTGCCGGACATGTGGCCTAGGACTAGGAGGAGAATTAGGAGCAGACACGCTTCCTCTTTTGGGGTGCTGCATAAGACCTGGGGTGCAGGAAGGGTATCTGAGGGGAGGGCCACCGATGGCGGAGGGGCCTTTCTCCCCTGGCCGAGGCCTGGCTGCATGGCGAGGATGGCTGTGGGATGGGGCTCCTCGGGCCTGGGAGAGGGGAGAGTGGTGGGCGATGGGGAGGTGTGGTGGGTCGGGGTGGGGGGAGGCCTCACCTGGCCGTGTGGAAGGCAGAGGAGAGAAGCAGCTCATTGTGCAGGGCGATGCTCATGTAGCGTGGCTCATGGAAGGCGGAGGGAACGGCTCGGGTGGCGTAGCACAAGAAGCTGCCCCAGCATAGGAGCAGCACCTCAGCTGTGGGAGAGTGGGGGGCAGAGATGCAGGCACCAGCTCAGCAGCTGGGCGGTGGCCCCTCTCTGTGCCAGGTGTGCCAGGGGAGGCGGGGACTGGGGGCAAGGCCAAGGTGGGAGGACCCCTGCAGGTGCAGCATGGAGGTTCCCAGTGAGGCGGGCTCAGCGGAAGCAGCTCACCCACAACCATGATGTAGTCCCAGCGGTCGTGATGGCAGAGGTAGAAGTGGCGGCCCGCAGGAGTGTGGCCACGGGCCACCAGGGGTGCATGGCTGCCTCTTTCCAGGGCCCCCACCGTCCACACCACCAGGAAGGCCAGAACGAGCAGCAGGAGCAGCCCCAGCCGCTGCAGCAGCCGCCCATTGCTGAGGTGGGGGCCCCGCTGGGCCGAGCGAGACAGAAACAGCTGGAGAACTCTACAAGGGTGCGGGTGGTGGGGAGAGGCATAGGCGGAGGGCCAAGGAGAGAGGCCAGGTCTCTGTCCTCTGTCCATGGCTTCCTTCCCCTCCACACGTGCCTGTCCTCCTGTCCTTCCCATGGTTGGCTGCCTCCCTGCCCCCCCAAAATGCTGCATCTGAGGAGGGCTATGGTGATAGGGTTGGGCCTGGGGGGGGGGTGGGGGGGGGGGGGTGCACCAGGGAGTAGAGCTGGTAAGGGTCTGGCTGGGAAGAACTCCACCCCTTTCCAAATGAGCTGGGGCTGCCTGGAGTGAGCAGCCCCAGAGCAAGGTCTGCCCCAGACCCTACCTATAAAGCTTGAGTATAATGGTGCCGTAGACAGTGGCAAAACCCAGCAATCGGACCCAGCGGAGAGCGATACAGCGGAATACACTGGGCTTGAAGTACAGAATGAAGACCTGGGGAGTGCGGGAGGGGGACAGAAGTTGGGGCTCTCCCATGAACTTCCTCTTTCTGATCTGCTGCCCTTTCTAATAGCCTTGCCACAGAGGCATCATCACCTTCATCCCTCAGAGGAGCAGCTGAAGTATCAGAGAGGTTAGGTCATTTGTCCTAAGTCACACAGTAGGACATCGAGCTCTTTTTAGCCAGGACTCTTTGGCTTTGGAGTTCACCAGGCCAGCCTGCCATTTGTAGATATGAGTATGGAGATTTTGAGGTCTCTGAATTTCTCTAAGGGAGCAGAAAGGAGGTAGGATTCTGGGGTTTGGAGGACACCAGGCAGGGATCACATGGGGTCAGACTCCGGCCACAGACTCACAGGGAAGTAGAGCAGAAGGGATCCAAAAAGGATGGCTTCCAGCAGGACAACTCCAGAGGTTCGGATCCTCTGTGAACCCAGGAAAGAGAGAGGTGTGTGAACAGGGCAGTGGGAAAGTAGAGCCTGGACGATCGTGGGGGAGAATCTCAGGCCTGTTCTAGGAGTCACTTGGTGGCCCTGGGCTAAGGTCTTACCCTGTAACATCAGCTCTGCCCTCTTGGTCCACAGCCACGCCACCCCCCAGTCCCACCACAGGCTAAGACCAAGGTTGCACATAGCATCTGTCCTCCAGCCCCCGCCCCCTGCCTCCCCAATCCTAGAAGGGGCCTGATTGCAGACCTGGGCTCCAGTCACAAGCTGCTGGAACTAGAAGGATCCCACACATTCCCCAGACTTTGGGTCAGACTGCTTCTTTGTCTAGGTAACCCCTTCTCTGTCTGGAAATCAGTTAGTTGACCTTCAAGACTGGCTCAAATGTCATGTTCTCCAGATGGGCTTTCCCAGGCCATCTCAAGCAGGACAACTGGGTCCTTTCTCTGAGCTCACATGGCAACCAACACACACTTCCATCCTCGCCTCTGTTGTGCTGCGTTGTCATTTTCTTTATAGGCCTGCTTCCTCTTTCAATTGGGAGCTCCAGGGGAGTCTAGACCATGTCTCCCTAGTGCCTACACTGTGTTTTGAATCAAGTCAATGCCTACACTTAACAGGCAACAAATCTAAGGCAATGGGGTCACTTGCCCAAGGTCACCTGGTGTGTTAGGTTAAGCATGAAGACCAGAACACATTTCTTCTGAGTTCTCGTCTTAGGGAGCCTCTGGCCCCTAGGTGATGCTGGGGACCCAAGGGATGGTAGGACACGTGTAGGAGAGGCGGGGCCTTCCTTACCTTGCTCCGGCGGCATCTGTAGGAGAGCAGCATGCTCAGGAAGACGGCCAGCATGCAGCAGGCCTGGCAGGCCAGCACGGCTGCCCGCAGTGCCGAGGCTTCCTCCACCAGGCACGGACTAGCATCCCTGCAGCTGGTGCAGCCCTCGGCACACGGCTGGCACTGCAGCAGCCTCCCGGAGCTGCCATGTGGGGCCCCGAATTGCCCAGCAGGCTGGGCAGCACTCTCTCCCAACCCTATAAAGAACAAGATGGCTGCAAGGAGAGGGTCCCGGCGGGGGCATGCCAGCCTTCTCTCCCTCGGGTCACCATAGCCCTCTCCCTGCCCTCCTACAGTTGGTCACCACCTGGGGCGGGCTGGGAAGCAGGGCGAGTGAGGAAGTGGATATTCCCAGGGAAGGACCGGGAAACAGAAAGAGGCAATGCTAGGCTAGGACTCACTGTGAGGCTCAACTTGCATTCGACTGGAGTGGTAAGGGCTCATTTTCAGAAGGCGCAGACACCCCCACAGTGGATCCTGCCTGCCTTGCCTGCTTCTCTCCACCTTCTGCCCTTGCCCCATAAGACCCCTGCCAGTGTCTCACCCCAGCCTTTTCTTCCCAGATGCCCCCTCCACCCAGCCCAGCCTGACCCTCACCATGGTTAACATACCCCCGGAGCGGCTTGCCCCGTAGAAGCCAGGTCGGCAGCGGCAGAGGTAGTGGCCGAGGACAAAGCCCTGACTGTCCAAGGGGACACACTGCAGGGATGACAAACACGATAAGGATTTATATGGGGTTTTCGCTCTTGGGAAGAGATGGAGGGTCCACGTACCTTCCTATTCACAGCACCTGCTCTGTACAAGGGACCCCCCCCCCACTAGAAGTCCTCCCTAGTCCTTAGGAATCCTTCTCTCTCTGGAAACCCTACTCTATTCCTGTCATCACCTCTTTTCAACAAAGAGTTTGGGAAGAGATCACCCTTTTATTCTGAGAGGCAATGACGGGAGCCTCACAGATCCCATGTCCCAGTGCCCAGCTGTTGCTACAGTGAGGTACTGGGGGAGGTGGAAGTAGGGAGAACTTGGAGTCCAATCACATCTGTATGCCTACATCCTGTTTCAAAGGGTCCCCATCACCTTCCCTCTTTGGTTCACAGGTGGTTTGAAAAGGCCCCCACAGAGGAGAGGCTTCCCCTACCAGGGGCCATCTGGCTTTGGCACAGGACTGATTTCCCCAGCCCTAATGCCAGCTAATGCCAGGCTGGTGGGATGCCAAGGCCGGCTCTTTATTCCACCTCCATCCATTGATGTCTGCCTAGCAGGGGACGGAGCAGACCTCAGAGCCAGGCAGGGGAGATGAACACATGCATGAGGTCAGATCTGCTGGAGGCAATGGTTAGGGACAGACCTAACAGTGGGATGAAGGAAGGGCTTCGCCCTGGGAGCTTCCACATTGAGCACCTAACTTCACCTAGAGAAGTTACATGGTGGTACTTCTGAAATCGTGGCCCAGCTTCCCTTCTTGCCAGGAGCACGAGAACGCGCTATGTTCCCACCAGCGTCTGCACAATCAGGCCAATGTGTACTGAGACATGCTGTGGCTGGGTTTAATAATGCACTGAATAATGGGAGCCCTTCTCCATCCCTGGACTTAGAGTTCCAAAAATATGTGCCCCAAAGAGCCACAGATGCCCAAATCCGCCCCACCTCCCAGCAGGCTGCAGGGCTTGCCTTGGCTTTGGTTCAGCTCAGGCATGACACGCGGTCAAGTGCAGCCGTGGAGCAGATTATTATTAGTTCACTGGCCTCCCAGTTTTTCAGTCCCGGGCTTGCAGGATTACCAGCCATTGTTTTCCATTATCCCGATCTCCTGCATCCATGGCTTTGAGTCTGCCAGTACCTGGCTTGGGTTCCCTCACCTTTACCAATCCCAGAGCTCTTCAAGCTCCTTCTTTGGTTAGAGTCCTCCCACACCCCAACCAACAATTACACTTAGGAGCTCTATCAACATGGAGAATGTGGTCCAGGAGAGGGAAAGGGGATGATTAGTAGGGGCTTAGGAAGCGGTCCTGGGGATGGATCTTAGGGCACCCAGTACCAAAAGGGAGAACAGACAGGGAGGCTTACTGAGAATTCAAAGGAACGAGGGAGACTATCTCCATTGGGGGATGGGGAGCAGGCTGTAAGTGTCCTCACCTTTTTTTTTTAAGATTTTATTTATTTATTTGACAGAGATCACAAGTAGGCAGAGAGGCAGGCAGAGAGAGAGAGAGGAGGAAGCAGGCTCCCTGCTGAGCACAGAGCACGATGCGATGCGGGACTCCATCCCAGGATCCTGAGATCATGACCTGAGGCAAAGGCAGAGGCTTAACCCACTGAGCCACCCAGGCGTCCCTCACTTTTTTTTTTTTTTTTAATGTAGGTTCTACACTCAATGTGGGGCTTAAACTCAAGGTCCCCAGAGATCAAGAGTCACATGCTCTACAGACAGCCAGCCAGGTGGCCCCTCACTTTTTTTTCTATGTTCGTGTTTTTTTATTATTCATTCAACTTTAAGTGCCTATTATGTATCAAGCAGGAGAAGTTGGGAACTTCTCAGAAATGACCATCAACATATCATTTCTGAATTTTCTTTTCTTGTCTTTTAGTTTTTATTTTATTTTTTTTTAAAGATTTTATTTATTTATTTGACAGAGATCACATGTAGGCAGAGAGGCAAGCAGAGAGAGAGAGAGAGAGAGAGAGAGGAGGAAGCAGGCTCTCCACCGAGCAGAGAGTCCGATGCAGGGCTCGATCCCAGGACCCCGAGATCATGACCCGAGCCGAAGGCAGAGGCTCTAACCCACTGAGCCACCCAGGTGCCCCTAGTTTTTATTTTTTATTGAAGTATTTTTTTGACTGTAAGTGTCCTCACTTTTAAATAGCCTTGTTTAGGGGCGCCTGGATGCCTCAGTGGGTTAAAGCCTCTGCCTTCGGCTCAGGTCATGATCCCAGGGTCCTGGGATCAAACCCCACATTGGGCTCTCTGCTCAGCAGGGAGCCTGCTTCCTCCTCTCTCGCTGCCTGCCACTCTGCCTACTTGTGATCTCTGTCTGTCAAATAAATAAAATAAAATCTTTGGGACGCCTGGGTGGTTCAGTTGGTCGGACGACTGCCTTCGGCTCAGGTCATGATCCTGGAGTCCCGGGATCGAGTCCCGCATCGGGCTCCCGGCTACGCGGGGAGTCTGCTTCTCTCTCTGACCTTCTCCTCGCTCATGCTCTCTCTCACTGTCTCTCTCTCAAATAAATAAATAAATAATCTTAAAAAAAAATAAAATCTTTAAAAATAAATAAATAAATAAATAAATAGCCCTGTATCTCAAGGTGCCTTGGTGGCTCAGTTAAGTGTCTGCCTTCAGCCCAGGTCATGATCTCAGTGTCCTGGGGTGGGCTCCTTGCTCAGTGGGGAGTCTGCTTGTCCCTTTGTCCCTCCCCCCACTACATGCGTGCACGCATGCATACACACCTACTCTCTCTCTCTCTATTTCAAATAAATAAATAAAATCTTGAAAAAATAAAAATAAAAAAAATTAAAAGACTGGAATCTCATTTCTGTCTCTCTCTCATCACTAGGGATTCCCTTGAAGCCCTGAGGCTGATATGCTTTGGTCAGTTGCTCCCAGGAGCTGGGTGGTGGCAGGGATGGGAAAGGGGAAGGGAGGCAGGACCCCAGGGCCCCCCCCTCCACTGTCCTCCTTATCCTTACCTGGGTGCTGTTGAGATCACACAGGTGTGTGTTGGAGTACCAGCCTGGCCCACTGGCACACTGATTGATGTCCACGCTCTGAAGGTCTATGTCCATCTGCACCTGTCCCCTAGGGCAGTGAGTTGGCAGTTAGGGGTTCAGCGAAGGGTGCGAAGGTGGTCATGTGTCCTCAGGCCCCAGACCAGGCAGCATTGCAAGCTTTGCAAACTTTAGCAGAGCAGTTGCAGTGTGCAAGGACAGAGGGCACACCTGCATTCCATTTCTCCAGTGCTATTCATCCTCACTGTTTCTGTGGGCAACAGTCTTCTTCCCTGTAGGTTGTTCCCCGACATCCCTCAGCTTTTCAACATCCTAGCATTTCCTGTTTCTATCAGTGGGTAGACGGAGGGGGCATGTCAAGACATGTGGAAGCTGGGGCTCTGATGATCTGTCTGAAGGGGATTTTCACACTTCTCCACCGCATGTATGCACACACACACACACACACACACACACATACGCACAGGCCCTGAACTCAGCTATTAACCACCCCCTCACTCTGCCCAGACCAGATCTGAATTGATCACAGCATAGGAACTATGGAATGGAGCTGCCTGGCCCCAGAGTTCCCAAACTCTGCTCTGGGCTGAGTGGGGAGAGCTGGCTAGATGCCAGGCTGCTGGCTGGCAGGAGGGAAAGCCTGTTGGGAGCAATGAATAGGGACACAGAGCTGGAAAAACAATTTGATTGTTGCGTGCCTTGCAGTTCTGTGCCCATTTGCTGCCTCCTCCCCACCAGGGTTCCCAATCACCTCTTTATTCCGGTTGAAGGAGGAGGTCAGTCATTTGAAGAGTACCAGTCAGGACAAGCAGGACTGGAACCCACTTGATGTGAGAATATAGCCACTGGGAGTGACCCTGGGGACCTGGCCAACTCCTAGACAGAAGGGGCAATGAATGGTTCCCAAGCTTCCCCCCCAAGAACTTTTCTTCCCTTGGAGAAGCCTCCTTTTATAGTTCTAGATTGCTTAAGAGCAGCAGGTTGGACTCTTGGAATGCCCATGAGACTACTCGTGCATAGTCTATCACTGTCATCCACACTAAGCCTGCTCCTGCCTTCTCCCCACTCCCCAGACCTGGGGGCAGACCTGTGCCCAGCTGTACACACACATATGTCTATACCCACGTACAAGTGGGTTGATTCATACGCACTGTGTACACTCACACCTGTATGTGCTAACAGACAGGTATAGATTCCCAGAGTCAACTGCAAATAGCTGAACGCAAATAGGCAAATCTGTGCCCCCCCAGATACATATGTGTGTGCCAAATGGCCCATGCACAGCTGGCTGGACTGGGGGCCCCCACCCCCATGTACCCGTAAATGTGTCAAAGACTGCGCAAACCCACTTACCTGACCTCTGGGCTGAGGTCTGGCTGGAGACCATAGAAGGTGGCAGAAAGTGTGACAAGCCAGCCAGGACGGAGCCGGCCCTCCTGGCACTCCAGGAAGGGAGGAGAGAGCTTCACATGCCTCATGTCCCCCACATAGCCATCCCCCTGTGGCCACTTGGGGCTGCCGAGGCTCCCGAGGTCATTGGTCAGCACTCGCTTCTGTAGGGCAGAGGTGTCCGGGGCCCTGGTTGGGCTCTCCTCCTGAACTCTGCTCCCAGACAAGTCCTGAAGGAGGGTCTCCTCCCCCATCCGTGTGGCCTGTAGGGCCAGAGGCAGGTGGCTGGCCCCTGGCGGAGGGTCAAAGGTCAGAAAAGCCCGGTACGCCCTTGGGTCCCCCTCGGCCACGCTGCGGACCAGTGCCTGGTACCACTCTACATCTTCCTCCACACTGGACTCGCGGATGTCGTTGGCCTGCAGCAGCATGTTGAGGAAATTAGCGGCCTGGGCAAGGGTGCCCGCTGCCCTCCATAGGACTGGGGGGAGCCCTGGGCTGGCTTCTGCACCCTGGGCTTCGTAGCGTTCACTGCAATTAGCCCCCGACAGCTGTCGGGTGTCTCCAGAGTAGAGAAAAGCCAGGGCTGCCTCGGCTCCCTCTCGGGGCACCCACAGGGGCCCAGACCCCGGTTGGAAATGGGAGGACAGAGGTGGCCCAGAGCGGAGGGGCCGCGGACACCCCAGAGCCCAGCTGCAGAGGAAACAGCAGCCCAGCAGTCCCCACACAGGGTGGAGCATGACCCCCGCTCTGGGGCCCATCCTCAGGGCAGCTCTCCGGTCCCTAGGGGTCCAGGCTGCCTGGGTGATCTAGGGGCTCACGAGAGCCCAGGCTGAGGCTGGCTGGCTCCACGCCTCCTATCCTCGCTTTCTCTCTTCCTCTCTCCCTCTCTCTCTCACTCTGTGCCGTCTTGCCTGTTTTTCCTTCTCTCTAACGTCATCAGCTGGCTTCTGGATATAGGCATGAGGGCTCTGCCCCTCCTCTCTCAGTGTGACCCCCCATTGCAAACCCTCTTAATCCTGGCACCACCCCTTTCCCTCCTCCTCTCATCCAGCATCTAGGCTCCCTTCCCCCACTGGGCACCCCACATCAGCTCCAGAGAGAGATGAACGGGAGGGGAGAGAATGAGACCAGACCAGTTGCACTCTCCCTCCCTCCCTCCCTCTGCCCTTTGCTCCATTAGGAGAGATGGGCAAATCCAGGATGAGGCGCCATAGCAACCGCAGATGAGCTTGTGCCCCTCTCTCCTCCCCTCTGCTCCACTCAGCCTCCTGCAGCAATAGCAACAGGCATGATAAAGGGCCAAGCTGCAGCTCCTGGCAGGCAGCTCTGGCTGCCTGTACCCCCCTGACACGGTGCTGCCGAACTTGAATTTGAGATTGGGAGTGGTGAGGGCGGGGAAGAGAGCCTAATATAACCACAACCAATCTCTGAACAAACTGTGGCAGTTCATCAAGAGCTTCTTGTGTGCTTTATCTCAACGGATCTTCCCCACAAGCATGTATGGGAGGTCAGTATTATCCCCATTTCACAGATGCAGACACTGAGGCTCAGAGACTCACCTAAGATCACATAGCTCACTTTAAGTTGAGACTCAAGCCCAGAGCTCTGACTCCCCACACTGGCCCCCATCAAACTCCCATGACCCTGTTATTCAAGACTAGTTCCCGAAGAGTGAATCGAGGCCCAGAGTGTTTAAAAGCTCCCCACCCCCTGCAAGGATCACACTGTCATTCATGACCTCCAGCAGGTCTTCACCTTCCACTCAGGGGAGCCTCTCTTCTCCAGCACCACAGAGGTAACAACCACAGCCAATGGGGTGTATATACGTATGTGTGTTTGCGTGTACGCATGGGCACTTGTGTGTAATGAGGACAGGGAGAAGAGAGTGAACAAAGTTTTGCTTCTGCTTCACACACCTTCATTTCGTCATCCTAAATCCCGTCTTCCTTTATTGAGTTAGTACTGCCTTGGATCCAGAGGGTGTGGATTCTTTCTTTTTCTTTTTCTTTTTTTTTTAAAGATTCCATTTATCACTGGAGACAGAGAGAGAGGGAGGTACAAGAGGCAGGTCAGGGCAGAGGCACAGGGAGAAGCAGACTCCCTGCCAAGCAGGGAGCCTGACACAGGGGTCGATCCCAGGACTTGATCCCGGGACCCCAGGATCACAACCCAAGCCGAAGGCAGATGCTTAACTGACTTAGCCACCCAGGAGCCCCAGAAGGGTGTGGATTCATGCAGGTAGCCATAGAACAAAGCTCCTGCCTTCCTCTCCCGCCATCTTCCATCACTCTTGTGCTCCCCACTCTCCCACTCCCAGAGATCTGGCCCCACATACACAAGCTGTCTCTTGGCTTCTTTCTCTCTCGCTCTGCCCACTCCCTTAAACCTTTGATGTCCCAGAGCACTGAGTGTATGCAGGAAGGGATGGGTGATGATTTTAGAAACTCCCTTTGCTTTACTGGTGGGCTCTGCAAACAGTTCTGCATTGGATCCTAAGTGAGAACGTCAGAGTGGGAGGGAGAGGAGGGGCTTAAGGGCAGCCGCCCAGCAGAACGCCTATGATGGCAGAACTGGAAGGGCCTCTAGTCCAGACCTTTCTCCGATAGAGAAGGAAAATGAGACTAAAGCTGCGGGTGGGCATCGTTGACCTTCTCAAAGCCATGAAGCTGCTTGTGAGTGGAGTCAGACCTGTAGGACGCATGCATAGCTCTCTCCTCAGCCTTTGTGATTCCGTGTGCTAGGAGAGAGGGATGGAGGGGAAAAGACACCCATTCCAAGCTCTGGGTCTTACTGGTTACTGTTAGTGGAGGGTCACGAACACACTGTATGAAGACATAATAATAATAATCGTTTTGATTCCCCAAGAAGCTTTTCATAATAATAACTACTAACATTTGTGTCGTGTTTTCGCATTTCTATGTAAGCTTTCATTTAATCCCCACAAAAGCCCCTGGGCTTTTTTAAAAATTTAATTAATTAATTAATTAATTTTATTTATTTATTTTATTTTTATTATTAGTGAACTATTTTTGCCAATAAAACACAGGTTCAAAGATACTAGATTATTTGCTCTTGGTCGTCCATCCAGGAAATGGCGTGAGTAGGACTCAGAGTAGCTGGAGAGCTCTAGAGGGGCAGGGATGGTCCCTGTCTCCCTCATCACTGCAGCCCCGAGACCTAGCCCACCACTGAACGACTAAGTGACCTCAGGAGCAGCTTCAGTTATCTGGGTTTCTCTTCCCTAACCTTTGGAACTAGGGTCCTACCACTTCAGGGACCACCTAGATGGGCCTCAGTGAAAGAGAGATGTGTAGACGCAAGACCCATTCAACAAATACACACGAATTCAATTCATATAAAGATAACAATTCCTTTGCTTGAAGCTGAATTTTCAATGCTTTTCCCCAGGACCTGGGCTCTAGGCCTGGACATTTAAGGAAGTGGAGAAAGGCAGTATTCCTTGCCCTGCCTTAGAAAGAGCTTGGGGTGTCTGGGTGGCTCAGTCATTAAGCGTCTGCCTTCAGTTCAGGTCATGATCCTAGTGTCTTGTCAAACCCTGGGTTGGGCTCCCTGCTCAGCAGGAAGCCTGCTTCTCCCTCTCTTTCTCCCTCTGCTTGTGTTCCCTCTCAGGCTGTCTCTCTGACAAATAAATAAATAAATAAACGAATAAATGAACGAATGAATGAATAGACATAAATAAATAAATAAATAAATAAACAAATAAACAAACAAATAAATAAAATAAAGAGCTTGGATGTGTTGCCCTATGTCTCTGTGTGCTCTGGTGCTGGGATGGTACCCTAGATGGGGACTCACCAGGTATGGACAGAGCTTCCTTCCCAGGCCAAGAAAGTAGCTGGACAGCAGAGGGCGCTGCAGAGCTACAGACTTTGTATTCATAGGCTAATTAATCTGTTCTGGGGCCAGGGAGGTTTTCCAGAGACAGCCAGGGATCTTGAGCGGTTGTCTTAAGCCTCTGGAGTTCTGTGATCCTGTAGCAATTTCTCTTCTTTTCTCCAGAAATCTGAGTGACACTTGCCAGGGAGCTGAAGGAAAGTGGGTGGTTTTGAATTCCACTGTACCTTCTGGAATTGTGTGACCTTAGCTAAATAGCTCTCTGAGCTACAGTTTCTTCATGGGCAAGGAAAAATGGTTTGTTGTGCAGAATTAGACATGAATTTGTATCAGGAGCTCCTTGCAAAGCATGAGGTTGAACAATTATCCCACGCTTCTATTTCAATGGTCCACTCTGTGGCAGAAAGCGTCTGTGGCACGGGAAGAGTCCATAATGGGTGAAAAACAGATCTGGCTCCTGCCCTTGTGGAGTTTACAGCCCAGTAGGGAAGATAAGATTTTAATCAAATAACCCCACTGAGAGATGAAAAATCACAGCTATGTCGGAAGTGTGACAAAGGAACGGTCTGGAAGCTGGGTGCGGAGGAAGTAAGGACCCAGGCAGGGAGAGTTCCCTGAGGTAGTGAAGAGTGAGTTCAACCTGGGGGTTTATAGGAGTTTACTAAGCTAAAAGAGAAGGGAAATAAACCTTTCAAGAAAAGGGAATAGCTTATGTAATGGCCACATGTGTACGAGTCTCACACAGGGCCAGCAGAACTGCAGGGGAGAGAGAACAAACTGAAGGCTGGTGGGAGATGAGGCCAGACAGAAGCAGGGGTCAGATCACACAGGACCCCATAGATCTCCTTAAGGAGTTTTCTCTTCAGCCAAAGAATGATGGGAAATTACGGAGGGATATAATCACCGGTTGCAGACAAATTTTCAGGTTATTTTTTAATGTTAATTTTAGTCTTAAGTAATCTCTACACACAAGGCAGGGCTTGAACTCACGACCCTGTGATCAAGAGTCACATGCTTGGGGCCCCTGGGTGGTTCAGTGGGTTAAGCCTCTGCCTTTGGCTCGGGTCATGGTCTCAGAGTCCTGGGATAGAGCCCCACATCAGGCTCTCTTCTCAGCCTGCTTCCCCCGTCTCTCTGCCTGCCTCTCTGCCTACTTGTGATCTCTCTCTCTGTCAAATAAATAAATAGAATCTTAAAAAAAAAAAAAAAAAGAGTTGCATGGTTTTTGGACTGAGCCAGACACGCGCCCTGAAAAATTTCTGTTTTAAAAAGCTCTGTCTGGGGACGCCTGGGTGGCTCAGTTGGTTAAGCAGCTGCCTTCAGCTCGGGTCATGATCCCAGCGTCCTGGGATCGAGTCCCACATCGGGCTCCTTGCTCATCAGGGAGGCTGCTTCTCCCTCTGCCTCTGCCTGCCATTCTGTCTGCCTGTGCTCACTCTCTCTCCCTCTCTCTCTCTGACAAATAAATAAATAAAATCTTTATAAAAAAAAAAAAAAAAAAAAAGCTCTGTCTGGGGATGCCTGGGTGGCTCAGTTGGTTAAGCGGCTGTTTTAGGCTCAGGTCATGATCCCAGGGTCCTCGGATCGAGCCCCGCATCAGGCTCCCTGCTCAGCGGAGAGCCCACTTCTCCCTCTCCCTCTGTCTGCTGCTCTGCCTACTTGTGCTCTCTGTCAAATAAATAAAATCTTAAAAAAAAAAACAACCCACAAAACCTCTCTCTGGCTCCAGGATGCATACCCTCTTCACTCCAATGCACCCTCAGGTACAAAGTAGCTAAGTTCTGCTGGCTTATCCTTCCTCCTATCTGTTGCATCCCTCGACATCTCTCTGGGGACAATTTCAATGGTTTCCTAACTGATCTCAGATATAGCAGGCTATCTCCAGTCCAGTCGTCTCCCTCCCCTCCAGTCTATGATCCTCTACACAGCAAGCTTTCTCTAATTTGAGCTTTACAGCACGTCTGCAAGTAAGTGAAGCAGCCATCCTGATTCCTATTTTGCAGATGGAAAACTGAGGTATGAAGGTGCTGTGGAGCTGGTTCATACAGGACTGTGAAATCCAACTGTTTAAATTTCAGGAATTCTGTAAGCCAGTTGTGAAACACAGCCACTATTCAAAATTAAATTATGTACACTTATAATTAAATGATGTTTAAAACATAGGTAATAAAATTTTCAAAACTCATCACTTTCTAATAATTTTACTATTACTATTTACCTATGTTCCTGGGGTTGTTATTCTATCTGCACGATGAAACTATTACATAAGGGTACCCTACTGTTCATCTCTTTCTAACTCTGTGTTCAGTAACTCTGTGTTCTAAAGATTGAAATCAGCCATGGTGGAAGTATTTACACGATGTATATCAGCAAATGCTACAAATCAGGCCCTTGATTTATTGTTTTGTTGATTATCTATATTTTAAAAAGTGATGAAGGAAAAATTAGTAATTCAGATTTAAATTTAATGTGTTATGCCGGTAGCCATTACACCATGAATAGTACAAAAATTAAGGAAACATTCTTTTTTTAAGATTTTATTCATTTATTTGAGAGAGAGAGAGGGAGGGAGGGAGAGAGAGGACCCAAGTGGGGGAGGGGGCAGGAGAGGGGGATAGGGAGAAACAGACTAGCTGCCCAGCAAAGAGTCCCAAGGTGGGCTCCATCCCAGGACCTGGGGATCATGACCTGAGCCAAAGGCAGACGCTTAACCGACTGAGCCACCCAGGCGCCCCCCAAATTAAGGAAAATTTCTTTCAGTATTTGAAAACCGTTTTGATTCAGCAAGCAAGTCACTTCCATAATTGACAGTTAAGACTGTCTTTATTTTTTTCACTTTCCTCTTACACTGACATTGAGGAAAACATCAACCAACATTCATGCTGCAATTCCTCGATTAATTGAAACCTTAGGTTGGCGACCCACACGAGTTTGACCAAAACCAATGAAAGGATTCTTGAGAATCAATTGGTTATATAGGATTTGCAACTGTATACTATTGTTATCATTTGTAAATTGTGTGCTATACATCCAATGTAAACATCAGTAAAATTCATGATAAACTTATGTACATATATATATATATATATATATACATACAATGCCCCCTGCCCCCAGAGAGCCAGCTGTCCAACATTCACCAGCACACCGCTGGCTCTAGAACACACATTATTCATGTGTCATTCCACAGACTTTTACTGGAGGCCAGCGGGGATACGGTTAGTCAATGAAGAAATGACTTGGCCAAGGTCACACATCGAAGGCGGCACAGGCGGGACAACATCACAGATACTCCCCCAAGACCAGGCGCTCTCGGCCAGGACCAAACCAGGATTTTCAGGGCCGCTCCCCACCGCTCCGGGGAGGGGCTGCTTCGGCCTCAGCGCCCGGGAAGTGAAAAGCGAGGGTCGGGGCAGGGGACCAACGGCCAGGCGAGAAGCAGCCCACAGCCAATAGCGGCCCAGGCTGCACTAGACGTCACGCTCCGCGGAGGACAGCGCGAGCACGCCCCGGGGAGGGGGCGTGGTTACGGCCTCCCGGAAGTGACGCCATCCGGGGGCGGTCCTCGGCGGCGGCGGCGGCGGCGGCGGCGGCGGCGGCGGCGGCGCGCGCGGCCTGGGCTCGCGCTGGGCTCCGCGCGCCCCCCGCCCCCCTCTATGAGGCAGAGGCCGCGGCGGCCGTTAGCGCTGTCGCTCCGGGGGCCGCGGCGGGCGGGGCTCCGGCGGGGCCCGGCCTAGTCCCCACCCCAGCCCGGCTCCCAGCCGCCCGCCCTCCCTCCCTCTCCCCGATGCAGGGGGCCGAGCTCCGGGACGGCGAGGCGGCGGCTGCCGCCGCTTCGTACCGCGTCCTGAGCCGCCTGCTCGGCTATGGAGAGGCGGTCCCCGAGCCAGGCCCGCCGCCGCCGCCCCCGGGCCATGGCCCCCCGCCGCCACCCTTCCTCGCGCGGCCCGGCCCGCGGGGCTCCCGGCCGCCGCAGCTGATGGTGTTCCGCAACGTGGGTCGGCCGCCGGAGGAGGAGGACGCGGAGGCGGCCCCGGAGCCGGGACCCTCGGAACTGCTGTGTCCCCGGCACCGCTGTGCCCTGGACCCCAAGGCCCTGCCGCCGGGGTTGGCGCTCGAGCGGACCTGGGGCCCGGCGGCTGGACTGGAGGCGCAGTTGGCGGCTCTGGGGCTCGGGCAGCCGGCGGGGCCGGGGGTCAAGACGGTCGGTGGGGGTTGCTGCCCGTGCCCGTGCCCCCCGCAGCCGCCCCCTCCGCAGCCCCAGCCGCCTGCTGCCGCCCCGCAGGCCGGGGAGGACCCCACGGAAACGAGCGACGCGCTTTTGGTCCTGGAGGGCTTGGAGTCGGAGGCCGAGAGCCTGGAGACGAACAGCTGCTCGGAAGAGGAGCTCAGCAGCCCGGGCCGCGGAGGAGGAGGGGGCGGCCGGCTTCTGCTGCAGCCCCCGGGTCCCGAATTACCCCCGGTTCCCTTCCCGATGCAGGACTTGGTCCCCCCAGGGCGCTTGGGTAGAGGGGAGCCGCAGCAACCGCCCCCGCCTCCGCCCCCTCCTGGGCCCCTCCGGCCACTGGCTGGCCCTTCTCGGAAGGGCTCCCTCAAAATCCGCCTCAGTCGCCTCTTTCGCACGAAGAGCTGCAACGGCGGCTCCGGCGGCGGGGATGGGGCCGGCAAGAGGCCTTCTGGAGAGCTGGCTGCTTCTGCTGCGAGCCTGACAGACATGGGAGGCTCTGCGGGCCGGGAGCTGGACGCGGGGAGGTGAGACTGGCCGGGGTCGCTGACTGACAGAACTTCCTTTTCTTCTTTCATATCCCTTTTATTCTGCTGCGAACATGATTCTGACAATTCTTAGGATGTGCTTTTCATAAGGATGCATAGAGACGTAGGCCTAAAGGTGGTGACTTCGCCCATTAGGTCAGAGCTATTTGGGGGAACAGTTTTCACACTTAGTTCAGTCCGGTGACATTTCTCAGCTGGTTAGCAGCCCCCCAGTTGGGAGAGGATTTGAAACCATCCTCCCACCCCCACCCTGGTCTGGCTTTTATAAAGTTTTCCAAGGTGTCGGTCTACGGTTACTTCTGGTAAGGAGGTTGCTGGAAATGTTTGGTCTTAGGGGCAAAAAGTTGGTCCTGTAACCATTTTGCTTATTATTCTCTCTGTGTTCCCCACCCCTTTCATGCTCATGCCTACAAATTATGTGACACACTTGTGCGGCTGTAGGCTAGCAATTGTTTGGGCATCTCTATTCAAAATGTTAATGTTTTCCTGGTTGGTTTCTTAGATAAACCTGGTATCTCAAGCCTGTGCTGACCACCGACTCTGAGAATAGAAAATAGTTTGCTCTCAAGCCGGTGTGAGTGTTCTAAGTGTGAGGTATAGACATGGGTGCGGGGGTTCTAGGCCAGTTGATGAAAATTCCAAACTTAGAGGTCTTTTTTTTTTTTTTTTTCCTCTGCGTTACTGAAGGGTGGACGGCACTCTGGCATGTAGTGTTAGGTCTGTATACTAGTTTAAAAGCTGTCAACGTTTGTGTCAAGAAGTGAGACTTCCCTTGTGGTAACTGCCTTGGTGGTTTGCACTGCCGAATGGGTTCTGAACAAAGATTGGAATTGGTTTTGGTGCCGCTCATACGATGGATTCTTGAGACACACTGGCAACCACAACCCAAGGCTGAAGAATGGGTAGACCAATAGATTTGAGAACTTTACTGTGTACCAGAATCACGTGAGGAGCTTTGGGAAGAGATAGTGTGTCTGAGGGCCCAAGAGTTTGAATTTCTACAAAGCTTCCCACATGACCCAGAAGTGTGACCTCCACTGGGAACCACTCATCCTTGGACTTCTCCTTTCAGGGGAGTTTGCGTGCTCCCAAGAGGAAAAGTATGGGGTCAGTTTTGACTTTGCTGCCCTTTCTGAACAGTTGGGCCAGAACATCATCTTGGGGATCAGACCCAACCCAAATTCCCTGAAGAAGTCAGTAGTTTGCTGTGTGTTGCCCCCTCAAGTAGACCTATGTTTCTGCCTTCGCTTTCCAAGTGAACTTACGCTGGGAGCTCAGGTCTTAAAAACTGTGTGGCTTCCTTTTGTTGTAGGCTCTGCATTCGATGCTCCACTTCCCAGTATAGAGGAAATGTTCATCAGAGGAGGGGGAGGGCAGGATTGAAGCTGTGGGTAATGACATAGGATAGACTGCTAATTTTCTTGTGGTCCGTCTTGCCTTTGTTCCATATTGACCAGGACTTGGTCTAAGATTCCAGAGACGCCAAATACGAGGTGTGGCGTGAAATTAGCTGCTACGTCTAATAGATTAGGAAGAGGAAAAGGCATATAACATTATACGGTTTTTTGCCTTTGGAAGCAGAATTTAATGGTCATTGGCGGCTCTGTTACCAACCCTCACACTAAGCACAATACAGATTTCTGCTGCAGAGCAAATTGGGATGTAGCTCTGCAAAGAAGCTTAGTTCAGGGCACTGGAGAATTACATTTTTTGGTCCAAGGGCTTTCTCTGATGAATTGGAGAAGAGCTAGGTATTTGTGTATGAACGTTTGGTTGGGAGGCAGCATGTTGCACAGAGAACGTGAACATCTAGGTTCTGCTTACAACTCCAGCGTCTGTGGAATGTAGCCAATTTTGTCTTCTTCATGCTTCCTCTTTTTTTTTTTTCCATCTGTAAAATGGGAGTGATTCTCGTCTTGTTCCTGTCCTTGTAGAAATAGAGTGAAGACAAGAGAGATTGAGATGGAATATTTTGTGTTCTTGGAGGAGAAGTAATAAGATTGAACTGGTATTTCTTTTTTAATGCTTAGGATTTGGTGCTGCTAGATTTGCTTGTTAGCTTTTCCACAGCTTACGATGTGCCAGTCTTGTTGGCAGCCTCGCAGCTGTGAGAAACTTGGTAAGTCTGGCCAGGGTAGTTGTGATTTCTATGGATCTGCACCTCCTAAGTGCACCCTGTTGGGAGGAAGGATGAGTTTGGAATTTTAGGTTGTTCTCTTGTTTTGATTGGTAGGGGCCTGGAGGCTGTGAGAAATGTCAGTCTTTTGCCAGAAGGTAGATGGCCTCCTGCCTTATCGTTGTTTGGAATTAATTACGGGTCTCTGCAGTCTTCGCTGTATAATTTGGGGCTTTTCAGTAACCTCTGGGTATGGTTCTCTCTGCCCTTCTCCACATCTACCTTTCCCACAGCTATCAATGGAAAGTACCTCCTGCTGTCATATTATAAGGCTTAATAGTTTCTGTGTTTTAGCATGAAGCAAACCTTTACTTCCTTTCAGATGCTTTAGAGTCTGGGAAATGGACTTGCCTGGATATACCAAGTCTTAAGTCTTGTGTGTGATAGCTTAGAGAACCCTTTCCAAGTGAAGGAAGAAGTGGGCCACCGACTAATCAGGTTTCTCTTCTGGAGAACTGGGCTAGGCCTTGTAACACACATATGTTGGAATTCAAAGAGCTGGGCTTGATGCCTGTGGGCCTCAGTGTGATATAGAATTGCTATTTCAGGAAAACCAGTGAAGTTCCCTTGTCTTTTTCACATATGTTGAGCTGATTGTCTTCCTTTGTGTTTGCTGAGAAATGGCATTTGATCTAAACTTTTAAAATCATCACATAATACACACATGGTCGGAAATGAGCACCTTGTTCATTTCTCAAGGTTTGTTTTTTCAGAGTTAACAGTTGAGATTATTCCTGGCAGTCTTCGTAATTGTGAGGTGGGAAAATGGAGAATAGTTCTGTAGTGGTTTCCTATCTATTTGTTTGGAAAAAAGAATTCTGGAAAGAGGCAGGCTGCCTTGGCATTAGTCTGGGGCCCTGCTGTCATGGACAGACCTGGCAGACATGAGAGAGCCTTTTCTGTTTCCTCGGGTCTTTAGGTCTAAGGGAGTGTTTTTGAGAATAGTCTGACGTGGCGAAAGCAAGATGATTCTGTGGTGTGTGTTGAGGAATTTCTGACTTCGGGCTTGGGTTTTGGGTCCATACTCCATGGATCTTTTTTTTTTTTAAAGATTTTATTTATTTATTTGATAGAGATCACAAGTAGGCAGAGAGGCAGGCGGAGAGAGAGAGAGGAGGAAGCAGGCTCCCCGTTGAGCAGAGAGCCCGATGTGGGGCTCGATCCCAGGACCCTGGGATCATGACCTGAGCCGAAGGCAGAGGCTTTAACCCACTGAGCCACCCAGGGGCCCCTCCATGGATCTTTTTAACTCTTACGCCACAAAGTGGTTGTGGTTGGCATCTTTTGGAGTGAGCAACCTAAGTTCAGAAATCTTTGTCCATTGAGCCTGTGTCTTTCACTCCTTCACATTTTTCCTGCTAAAATCATTCCGAGGTTTTAGACCTTGGACCACGTCTCTTGGCTTTTCCCCGGAAGTTCCCACCATAGGTTCTTTAGTTGGTGTATGATGGAGTTTTGGATCTGACCTTGCTGCACAGATGTCTGTGTATTGGAACTACAAATGAACACATGGTTTTTGTGCCTGCAGCACATGAACAGACACTGGCTCATGACGTGTTGAAATGGCACGGGCTGGCTGACTTGGCACCGTGTGCTGTAGCAGGCGCAGAGAGGTAAATTGTGGCCATCAAACCTGGCGTTTGGACATCCGAGTTTGGGAGTTACTGTAGAAAAGGACATGTTTAAGTCTTAGGACATCAGTAGATGGGGTTTATGGACAAGGGAGAGTGAGGACATCATTATTTCGTGGTTTATATTTTAAGTTTCAAGGAATTTGAAAAGTGGCCAATGGTTTTATCAATGTGTTGACGGCCCGTCTAGTCTAATGCTTGTAACCCATTTTCTCCCACGGATCTGTTGCCGTCCAGTTGGTAATTTGCAGAGTGGAAGTGGACAGAGGCATTCTCTTTGTCATCTGTAGCACAAGCAGTGTGTAGCTGACACAAAGGACTGCTAGCCGCAAAGAAGGTCTTGCCTCAGGTCTTCTGCTGCTCCTGTCCTTTTCTGCCATGTGAGATACAGCCCACCAGCTCCTCCCCCACCCTACCGCTCAAGTCTTTCTACTACTAAGATGCAAGTGGCCTACTGGCAGAATTAAAATGACTTAACTCTGCACCCTAATGCTTGTCAGGGTGATCAGGGTGATCTGGGGAGGAATAAAATAACATGGGAATGTAGTATGGAAGGGTTAGTTAAAAATGTTACTGGAGCTGAATCATTCATGTTGCTTTCCCAAAACAGCCCATCCAGCTTAGATGGGCTTTTATCATTTTAAATGCTTCAGATCTACAAAAGGAGATACATAAAGTGTATATACTATAATAATAATGAATTGCATACTTGGGTACCCACCACTAAGCTTAGCAAGTAGAATGTTAGCAAGTAGAATCAGTATCTTTGAAGACCCCTATGTGTTGCTTCCTGATTACATCTCTTCCCTCCCCCACGAACCACCATCCTCAATTTTATGTTAATCGTTCCCTTGCTTTGTTTTTTATAGTTGTCTGGATTGGTCTTTTCATGAATGACTGCCATTAGAATGCTCTCAGGATCCTTGAGACAGAAACTGCTTAGGATTTTTAGTTAGCATCTACCCGAAGAGGGAAGGAAGCACTTGTTTTTATTATTAGCCTATCAGTCCCCTAGACCTTCTACCTCTTCAAGCTTCCCGCCCCAAGGCCCCCTTATTTGCCAGAAAAAGCCATCCCAGGGCTCTCAAACGGCTATGCCCATGTTCAGATTCTGATGTATTTCTTTCTCCAGATCCTAGAAACTATGATTTTCTTCTGCAGAATGCTGGGGGTGGGGGAGAAGATGAGCCGCAGTGAGAAGGCCCCCGCAAGATGTGTGCATTTGGGTACTGCCGTTCTTCAGTGCTTGGCACTGAAGAGACTCGTCCCCAGCATGGGCAGATGGCAGAGTAATGCAGCTTCCTTTGAAAAGAGGCAAACGGCCAAGTGGCTGAGGTGTGAACCCTTTGAGAGGCCAGTGCTTTGGGTTTCTGCTTGCTGGGTTTCATGTTGTACCCACAAGTTATCAAATAAAAATCAACTTGGAAGCCCTTCAGTCTTAAAGTTCATGTCCAGCAGAATTAACTTTCCATCCCAGCCCTCTAGAGCATTGGAACTAGGCTGCAGACTGTCACGGGCAACTTATATAAACAGAGGACTCTGTGGTTGTGTCTTGTTTTGACACAGCCATGTCTCTCCTGTGTGCGCCTCGGGTGGGGCAGGCATAGGCGGCGCCATCGTTAGATGAGAAGTCTCAGTGTGGAAGAGTTGCAGAGGGAGCGTGAGGTAGGAATCCAGCATCTTGGCTGTTTCTGAGTAAGGTCTTCGCAATATGGTTTTGAAATTTTGTTTGAAGGGAGTCTTGAGAAGCTTAGACATCTGTGTTAAAACAAATGTGTAAAGATCTTCCAAAGTCAAATAATGTAAATAGGGTTTCATTTCGGATTTTCTATGCAGCTTCTCTGTTGGTGCATTTGAAGTTTTATTTGGTCCTTGGGTGAGAGTAATTTTGGAAGTTGAGCCGGGTATAAGACCTAGAGTCAGGCACTCAATTCGTGGGGATTTTTTTCTTTTCTTTTTGTAAGTCTGGTTTGTTGAGGCATAATTTATGACCACCTAAAATTCCCCCTTTTTTTTTTTAGGTGTCTAGCTCTATTAATTTTGGCAAGCCTATACAGTCATATAAGCTCTGCCATAGTCCAGATATAGCATATTTTTATCACTTCTGCAAATTCTTTACCTTGTAGTCAATTCAGTCATCCTGAGGTAAGGTTTTTGAACTTAGCACATTTCTGGCCAGAAAGTCTTTGTCAGAGTCTTTTGGATTTCTTTCATTTCTCACTGAAAAGCCAGTTGCAATTGGTACAAAGTGAAGTTACCTGTGGTGTATCTTTACACGAGAGATCTGGGTTTTCCAGCTGGCTCCCTGGAGCAGCATGGGGAGAGCTGTGTGACTGGCCGCTCAGAGAGGGGAAGGGCCATTTTCTTTGGGAGCCAGGCAGAGCCCTTAACCTGAGGGAGCCCCCCAAGTAAGCTGATAGCTTTGCCCTATGGCTCGGGGGCATTTGTATAGAAATCGGGGATCTTAGTGGTTTAACATTGCCTGTGTTTCTTGTGCCATTCTCAAGTCCAGATCTATTCCCTGGTTCCCTTTGGGACCTTCTGCACCTTGGGGCAGGGCCGTAGGGAAAGCGTTTGCTCCAAAATGGCACCTGCTCAGGTCAAGAGCCATTGTCTTGGCTCCCTTATGAAAATCAGCCTTGCATCTGTCTACCTTCCTCTAGAAATGGACTTGCTAATTACCACTCAAGGTGTTTTACTCTTCTATTATGCTGGTTGTGGAGAGATCTAAAGGGATTTCTCATTGCTTTGTAGGCTGAACTTCAGAGCGAAATTTATTTAAGAAATTGCTTGAATTATTTCATTCTCCCCCTTTACATTTTAGGCTTTATTACAGAAGTGTTGTTGACAGTGACTGGGATTTGTTTGGTTTTTCAGTGTATCTAGACTTGAGTGTCGTAGTGACTTAAACGCATATGTGCTCATCCCCCATCCTCCCTTACATTCTCTGTGTGCTCTCTCACCCCCTAGGAAACCCAGGTTGACAAGAACTCAAAGTGCCTTTTCTCCGGTCTCCTTCAGCCCCCTGTTCACAGGTAAGGGTGACAGCTCTCTTTTTCTTCTGACCTCTGAAAGCAGGAGGGTTCTAAGACCTGTCAGGGGGCGCTTACAGATGCCCCACAGAGCAAGCTTCCGGTGGGCCTGCAGTCACTTCCTTCATTCCATGTCCGCTGGGGTTGGGGAGAGGCTATTTTTATGGTGTGGAATGTGTTCTTGACTTTGGAGGCTTTCTAGTTGGAGGTAGAGACTGCTTGCTGGTAATTAGGTGGCATGGCAGGTACGCAGTGCTCCGTTCAGGGTTATCGGTATAAATTAAAAGTAGGAATTACAAATTTATAGGCTAACAGTGCATAAAGGAACTCTCTAGAAGTCATGTAGTTCCTGTTCCTGCTTCCAGGGGAGTTCGTGGATGATCTAATCAACATGATCCGCGATCATCTGGTCTATTTTTAAAGACTCTGGGCAAAGGGTATTACGTGAACTCTTGGCTTACCCATTTGGGGGCCAGGAGTTCGTGCAGCTGTTGAAGTTCTTCGTTGTGTCTAATTTAAGTCTTTCCTCTTGCAGGAGGGAACACAGTTGCTCAAGTAGGGAAAGCGTTCGAATGTACTTTGGGTGACTGCCTTCTCCTTAATGGGGAGCTTGTTCAGATAGGGAGCCTTTGCCTTATGTCAGTCCTATATGGAGCTCCTGCTTGAGTAAGCGCCAGAGGAGGTCTTTAGCACACTGCGTCTGGTCTCAGGCACAGAGTACTCCTCATTGTTAGTGGCCCAGCCAAAAAATCCGAACTTCAGACTCCTTTGGAGATTATGTCCCTCGAAAAGATGACTGGAAGGATTATGAGTTAGGAATGGACATGTCCAGAAGACGTTCAGCAAGCTTGTGGGACCCCTATTACCACATGGACTGCCATGAGGTGTCCGAACAACTGAGCTGGTGTCTGTAATAGGCACAGGTGGAGAGGGAGGCCTCTGTTCTTACCCGAAGTCCAGAATTAAGGAATCCTGTCCTGTGGCAGCATGTCTTTCTTGTTAATCATTGTTTCCTCTAAAGTAAGGAACGCTCACCCACATTTGTACTTTCGGGTTTGATGTTCCTGTTTCAGACAGCCTTAGCTCTTTTGAATTACATCTTCTTTTTTTTTTTTTTTTTGTAATTACATGTTTTATTTGAGTGCTATACCTAGGGGTGCTGGCTGGCTTAGTCGGTTAAGCGTCTGCCTTCAGCTCATGTCATGATCTCAGGGTCCTGAGTTCAAGCCCTACATTGAGCTCCCTGTGCAGCTGGGAGTCTGCTGCTGCTCCTCCCTCTGCCCCTACGCCCATTCGTGCTTTCTCTTGCAAATAAATAAATAAATAAATAAATAAAATCTTAAAAAATAAGTGTTATACCTATTGTCCAGACCTCTGACCCTTCAGGAAACGCACTTGTCTGGGCTCATGGCGTTGCTCTGGGCTGCTAGGCTCTCAGTTACTAAGCTATGTGATGAGTCTGGGTCCAGCTTCCCAGAGTTGCTGATGACTTTTAGCAGAGCTTTTTTTTTCTTTTTCTCTGTTGCTCCCTTCTTCCCTGCCTCCCCCGCCCCTCTTTTGTTGCATGTTTGTTTGTTTCTTTTTCTTTCAGTAGGCTCTATGCCCTATGGGGCTTGCACTCATGACCCTGAGATCAAGAGCCACATGCTCTACTGACTAGGCCAGCCAGGGCGCCCCTTGCAGAACTTTTCTGCTTACCTTAATAAGTGCTCCAGACCTTTGTAAAAAACTGTGTATTAGATTCTGAAAGCCCAACCCTTGGCCTTTTAGAGATACTGGTTACCTCATTTTCTTAACTGGGAAATAATAAAATTCTAGCCAAGGGGCTAATTCAGCCTCCTGGATGAGAAAAAGTTGATGGAAATAACACCTTAAGGGCCAAATTAGAGAAATCTTGAGAGTCTTCTCCCTGTGGGTCAGACCTACCAAAACTTGTCTATCAACCTTTGTTATAAAATACCCTTTATCCTCTGGTGACTGAAGTAGAGAGAGGGTAGATGGGCTTGGATGGCAAGATGGAGGGTATAAGGCAGAGAACGGAACTGCATGATAGGCTCTAAGTAGAAGAAACCATGTGCCATCCCCCATCAGGCTCCTCTGGAGCTTGCCTGATTTGGCTGACTGTGGAAGTGGTTCATTAGTAGGATTGTAAATGCACCTTTGGCCTTTGTAGTCTCAGCTCTTAGGAATTAGTTGATATGTGAAATGATTGCTTCTCTTGTGAGCGAATATTCTGGAAAATCTAGATGTAGAAAGCCGTTTGGGAGGAAGTTGAGGCTCACCTTGAGACCTTTATCTGCATTCGGGTTACTGTGCAGTTCTTACATTTTTCTGGCACTTACTTTCCATGTCCATTTGGACTTGCAAGCTGCTTACCTTCCTCCCTAAGGCAGAAATTGGTACACCTGTCTGTAAACATACATGGTGTGGGTTCCATTTGAATAAAGACCTCTTGTGAAGGTTACATAGTGAGCAGCACAACCACAATTAGTTGGCCTTTCCACTGTCAATCCCGTGTTTCTATCCTAAAGAATCTTTGACCTTTACCAGGACCAAGAAATGATAGAATTTAAAACTGACTTTCCCAGGTATTTGGGGGTGGCTCCAGCTCTGGGAAGCATTAGGATTTGAGGTTTTTGAGAGCCGGGGGGAACCTCTAGCTTCCTTTGCTCGCTTTCCTTTGCTTTTGGCCTCAGCTGCGGGCAAGGTGCTCCCGTAACATGCTTGGTCCGTGAATCCCTCAGGTGAAACTGTGTCGCTTGTGGACGTGGACATCTCTCAGCGGGGCCTGACCTCTCCACACCCTCCAACTCCCCCTCCTCCTCCGAGAAGAAGCCTCAGCCTCCTAGGTATAGTCTCTGCCCCTCTCTGCTGCCTTGCCCTAGTGGGAGGGGGTGAGCTATAGGGACCTGTTGTTCTTTTCCAGGAGCCAACAAGCTCCTGGGTTTCTAATAATGACCCAATTATTCCCTGTTCCTTTCTCAGCATCCTTGTCATCTCCCTAAGCAGTTAAATGGGTCTCTTACCTGCATGCTGTAACATTTACTGTCCATCTGTTGATCAGCCCTGAATCTACAGCTAGTAGACTGCTTTTGGAACATCCTTACGTTTCTGCTTTCAACAAAGGACACCAGATTAAGATGCTTGTTGCCCTCTGTGCAGAAAGACAAGGGGAAGGTCAGGCCATCTCGCTCCAGAGGGCAGCCTGATGATCCTTCTCCCTCGCCTCTGCTTCACCTCACTCACCTGTGCTCATATTTCTGAACCTCTTGCTTCTGTTCTCTCTTCTAGATGATATCAGTGGGACGCTGCCTACATCTGTCCTTGTGGCTCCGATGGGGTCTTCCCTGCAGTCTTTCCCCCTACCTCCGCCTCCTCCACCCCATGCCCCAGGTTAGCTTAGTATAGAGGCAAGCTTTGTAAAGGTTGGGAGTACAAAGTGATAGACTGTTGATGGATGGGAGAGGTCTGTTTATGGAAATAATCGGACTTACGAGAACACTTAAATCTTATCCCCTTGGCTGGGCCAGAACTCCTTGGAATTGAGGCCAAGAACTGGTTTTTCTAACCCATTTTCCCTGTGGAGGTGAATCTGACTTTTGTTAGGGATAAAAGACTATTGAATTTTTCACCTCTTTGCTGCTGAGACTGCTTTGCAATCTCTGAGTAGATACCATTTAGGAGACAGCCTTAATTTCCAAATGGTGAGAACGTTTAAAGTTTTCAAGGTTCTCTGGTGTTTCTAAGCTTTCCGTATTTACTGCAGCCTTGTAAATAAGTACCCAGCATTTAGTAGCCCACACCTGCTTTGCCAGCCTCCAGTACCCAAGGAGTAAAATGAATGAAATCGGCATTCTTTCCTACTTGCCTGGCAAAATCGTTCCCCTTCCTGGGCAAGTAAGCGAGTCACTATTTCCAAGGCTGCTTTACCGGCGCTTCACCTCGAGGTGGGAGAAGCTGGAATCGCTCTAGGCTGGTGAAGCCCCTGACGTAGTCACCTTAGTCAGGTTAGTGAGCAGCTCCCCCACCCCGCTCTTGGGGTTAGACGCCTCCACCCATCCTTCACAGCTTACACGAGCCCACACAGCTTTTTGTTACAGTCCATCCAGCTCTTTCCCACTGCTTTGGCTTCCACCCTTTCCAGCTTAGCTTCTGATGCCTTGCCCCTCTTCAGTTAGCATCTCTGTTTTGGGGGGTAGGGAGGGTCTGCTCGCAGTTGGGAACCAGGAGGGTGAACACGTGACTACCCCCCTCTCGCCTGGCAGATGCGTTTCCCCGGACGGCTCCCATCCGAGCAGCTGAATCCCTGCACAGCCAGCCCCCCCAGCATCTCCAGTGTCCCCTCTACCGGCCCGACTCAAGCAGCTTTGCCGCCAGCCTTCGAGAGTTGGAGAAGGTAGGCGGTGCCTGGAGACTGGCGGCTGGCCTCCTCTCCCACTCTCCTTCTTCTGTCCTGGGCTCCCCTTTTCTTATTTTTAGAGGAAGAGTAGTTCTCTTGCCTCTGTGTTTACAGTGCCAAAGCAGTATGCTGCAATGATCAATTCCATAGGGGACGTTGGAAAATCGAATCACGGAGAAAAACATTTGAATGTGGTGAAGAACGGTCGTGGAGAACTGTTTACATAGTGGAAGCTGACTTTGACAGATTAACTGACCCAGTTCCCTCTTCTTTTCCTTGTAGGCCTTGGTAATGGGATTGTAGGCTTATTCTTCCGTTACTTTGGAGGGCTAAAAGAATGAGTCTGCTGTTGGTGGCTAATGGTTAAGACACCATTAGCAGCCCTTACCTAGTGAAATGTTTTGGAAGTGGTGGGAGGGTGGGGATTCTCCTGCAGTAAAATAGATTGTGCTGAAAACATACCCGTTTCCCCCATGCTGTGAAGTACTTGACCACTTCTTGTCTTTGATAGTGTGGTTGGTACTGGGGACCAATGAACTGGGAAGATGCAGAGATGAAGCTGAAAGGGAAGCCAGATGGCTCTTTCCTGGTACGAGACAGCTCTGACCCTCGCTACATCCTGAGCCTCAGTTTCCGGTCACAGGGTATCACCCACCACACAAGAATGGAGCACTACAGAGGTAAGAGGTGCTGCCGTTGGGGGAGAGCCTTCTTCCCCCTTTGCTGGTCACTACTTCTGCTGTCTGGCCTTTGTGTGGGAAGGTTTTATGGAAGTGGAACTACGGATTGGGAGGAAAATCTCATCAGGCTCCATTGAATGTTGTTATGGGTGCTGGTTTCAGCCCTAGAAGGAATGTTGGCTGGGGTAGGGAGGAAGGTGACGGTTCTCTTGAAAAATACTCTCAGCATTTCTCTGCAAAAGAGGAGAGCCTGAACAAGATTGTCAAACAGAGCAAAGCCCATAGAACTCTCTTGATAGAAGGAAGAAATAACCTAGGACCATTCCACAAATTCTCCCAGCCTCCGTTCATAGTTAGACTTAACGAATGATGTCGCTTCAACTTTCACCTCTATGTAGGTAATTGCTGTAGCTGTAGCTAATAAAGAAAACATAATTAAACTTAACGTCGAGAGATACTTCTGTTATAATCCTATACACAAAGAGGAGAATTTAGTGTTTACCCTGTGACCGTCCTGTAGTGAATTTCTTTGCGTGAGAGTCATATCAGCTCCTCCTCCTCAGGTCACCTCTGTGGTCTCTTAGGAAATAGCCATCAAAACTCAGAGACTTTGTGGGATCAACATGCTTTAGACTATCTGCCTTCCTCCCTAGGGGTCTCTCCTCCTCTGTGCTCAGCTGGTGCTGAATGCTGCGGTCACCTCTAGGAGCTGATTTGTTCAACCCCGCTGTCTGGATTGACTTTACATTGTGGCGTTCTGTGTTTGACGTGGGCCAGAAACTCATGCGGTCAGCAGTGGCCGGGCTGGTTCCTATATCCTTTGTCCGAATCACTCCCTGTGTCACAAACTTGAAAAGTGGAGAGAACTTAGGGGAGTTTCAGGGATCAGCCTCGAACAAGCTGTGTTAGCCGCTCTTTTGCAGGCTTTTCTCGGCCCCCGCTGTGTCTTTTCTGCTCGTGTCTTTTCTGCTCTCAGCCGTGTTGTGCTGTATTTATTTGGTTTGCTTCTCATGTGAGGCAGGAAGTGGCATGTTAGGCCAGAATAGCTCTGTCCATGGTTTCCTCCGTCCCCACCCTTGCCTTAAAGGTGCATGAAGAGAGAGGCCCATCAGTCCACAGACCTGAGAATTAGTTAGATGGCTGTTGCCTGCTCTCCTGCTATTTCCAAAGGCCAAAATCAAACCAGCAGAAAAATACCCTGCAAAGTAAAGCATTTCAGAATGAAGTATTTTTATAAGTCTATGAAAATGATGAATGGCTCGGCCATGAGACAGGAAATGCCTGACCTCTAAGGTCCCTGATAGGCGAGAGGCCAGTAAGGAGAGAACCTTCACATGGTGCTCCCGTTACTTTTTGTTCAAAGGGGCTTTTCTTCCTTGAATAAATGGAATTTTTAATGGAAGCCTTGTGGGTCTTTAAGTTGCCAGTTTGCAATGGAGCATTTGTCTTCATCTTTTTAAGTGATACTGTAAGAGTAGCTAGAGAGACTCAGAACTGTAGTTCTCTTGGATTCCGTCCCTTTTGTGGGTGATTCCTTTACACTTAGTGCTTGAATTTTGGGTTTGTTTTTAGTCACGGGAGTTCATATTCCCTATTGCTTTTGGGTTTGGGGTGGGATCTTTGCAACATACCAGGGGTGGGGGTAGCTTTGGAAGTTAAAGAAGAAAAGACTAGAATTTGGTGTTTTGTGCCTAACACATGAATGAGATTTGCAAAACTACTCTTCCTTTCTTGGTTGACTATTCTATGAATGCTTGAGCACAGACCTTCCTGAGGGGATGGCATTTCAATTGGCTTTTTCTGTGGCAGTCTTTTTTAATGGTCTGTGATTTAAGGATTTGTGTTTATACTAATGTCTTATTAAAGACGATTTCTTTCTTTCCATTCATTGTGGAGCAGAGGGGAACAGGTGGCTTCAGGGACCTCTGTCTGACTGCTTGCCCACAAATGACCCTCCCAGAATTGCAAATTGTTAAAATGTTCAAGTAAGCTTCCCAGATGCTTTAAAAGTAAGTTTTTACATCTTTATCTCTCCCTAATTTTCCATGGCAGGAACTTTCAGTCTGTGGTGTCACCCCAAGTTTGAGGATCGTTGTCAGTCGGTGGTGGAATTCATCAAGAGAGCCATCATGCACTCCAAGAATGGGAAGTTCCTCTATTTCCTGAGATCCAGGGTTCCAGGTGAGGCTAGAGTTACATTACGTAGCTTCCTTGGGCATCATGCAGTGTTGTATCAACATGTGTCCCCCTGCCTCCCGGAAAGAGCCACACTTCCTTGACGTTGTTTTTCCTGGCTCTTATGGCAGCCGCTCTTCCTGGAGTCCAGTGGTTAAGTCCCTGCTCCTGAGCATTAATCCTTTGACGTACTGAGAAGGAATCTGCTTCTCAGACCACACGGATGAGAATATTTAACATGTGAATATTTAACATTCAGAGGTGTCCCCTGTCCCTGATCTAGGCATCTGACGCTTCCATGTGAAGCAGAGGGGCGAGAACTTGCTCAGGCTGTTTCTACGGGAACAGGGCAGATAAAAGAGTATTCACTAGAAAGGCCATGGTGAGTGGCAGAGAGGCTGAATTCAGTGGCCGTCTGCTGTGGATTTTGTCTGTTCGTACGAAACTTGTTATTAAAGACTAGGTAGTTCTTGTGTCTTTTATCTCTGCCAGCGACAAATATAAAGACATCTCTCCATTTGGAAGCATTGGGTAGTTCCCATCCCCCGTCCTTACTGGTGTGGTTATATAGCCTTTCTGCCCACAAAGTAGGGAGCTGTCTGTATCATCTCTACAGAGGGGAGAGAAGGGGTGGTTTGGAGGAGTCTGTCTGCTTTTCTAAGGTTGGGGAAAAGCAAAATGATGAGCATATTAATTGAGGGATTTGTAAGATACAAACAGAACTTAAAATGAGAACTTCATGCATTCCCAGTGAATCAAATTAAGATTCTTAAACAATCTGTGTGCCAAGAAATTGCTCTAAAAAGAAGTTCCAGGGGAGCCCCAGGCAGAACATCAGTAACAGAATTGAGCCAGGTTACAGGAATGTGTTTAATAATCTTGGTGATTTAAATAAAGCATGACAGGGTGAGAACTGTATTAATTCTCACTTCATTTCGTATTTGCCTCAGTGCCGTCAACATAGTTGGATCTTGTGCAGTTGACTTGGTTAAAGGGAAAAATTAGAATCCTTTCTTACAGGAATTGACTAGTAATTTTTAAAATTTGTGGCTTTTGGAGGTTATTTATTTAAGAAACACTTATTCTGTAACTCAGTATCAAAAATAAGCCACATTTCTACCTTTAGATATATCATAGCCTCAAAGAGAGGACAGGTAGGAAGAAAAAGGCAAGAGCACATGTAGAACTCAGTAAAAGGCATGGCGGTTGGTGGTGGATAATTGACAAGGTCTGGGAAAGCAGCTCTGTTTATGCGTGAACCAGGGAGATCGTCTCAGAGGATTCTGGAATCTGGAGCATGTAACTACCTGTAGAGTATTTGAGAGACTTTGCAGAGTCCTAGACACTCTGCTGTAGCTCATTTCATTCTACAGATGTGCCCTGTTTGCAGAAATTTTAACCAAGATTCTTAACATTGGTAAGGGCTCGAAATTGTAGCGGTTGCTACTATTTATTGACTATGTGTCCTGTGCCAGTTACTTTGTCAGGTACTAACAGCTCGCATTTCTTACAACAACCCAAAGTTAGCTAATAGATTGGTCTGTTGATAGATAAGACCATTTTCATTTGCCAGTGAAGAAACTGAGGCTGAGAGGCTCCAACGGGAGGTCCCTTTAGCCGATCAGGGCTCAAGTCAGAGTTCCAACCCAGGCTCAACGGACTCCAAAGCCTGTGCTTTATCTGCTGCCAGTCTGTTACTGGGGAAAACTAACAGCAAGCAAATTGAAACCTGAGTTCGCGGAGATTTGTGGAGACTGCATAAGGAAGTCAGCAGTGTGTTTATTAGTGGAGGATGTCTTTTGAGGACCTGTGAGGAATGCTCCAGAGAGGATATCTGTTTGCACTTAAAACTCTAATCAAGCTGAGAAGGCAAAGCAGAGTTCGTATTTGCTCCCACACCATAAGTGACCTCTCTTTGAAGGATTGAGGCAAAAGCAAAGCCAGTATTCTCCTTTACCATTGTTTGCTGTCCTCCTTTGCTTGTCGTAAAAGTCGAGGCATTCTGGGAGGTTGATTCTGTGAGGGACTTGGCATGAAGAAGAGGTAGTGATTAGCATTTGGGTTGAGCGTTCTCAGCCTGCACCAGTCAGTGGATTCTAAAAGGAGCCTGTTTGTTGAGACTTCGGGATGATGATAACCCAATGCCTACAAGGGCAGGTGTTAGTTCATTTAACCCTTACAAAATCCTTTAAAGGGATACTACAGTCTCTCTTCTTTTTTTTCTTTCCTTTCTTTCTTTCTTTTTTTTTTGATACAGATTAAGAAACTGAGGTACAGTGGGGGTAACGGGGTGGCTCAGTCGGTTAAATGTCCTTCTCTTGATCTCAGCTCAGATCTTGATCTCAGGGTTGTGAGTTCAGGTCTCACATTGGGTTCCTTGCTGGGCCTGAAACCTGCTTAAAACACACACACACCAACACCAGCAACAGCAGCAACTGAGGTACAGTGAGTTGCAGAGCCAGGGTTCAAAGTCAGGTTTTCTTTCCGGCTCAGCACTAGGGCGGGGTGCACTAACAGGGCCTGCAGGCTGGTGTTAAAAGAGATGCCAGGGATCATGGGAATCATAAAACTAGGACTAACAGAAAAGTTCTGGATGGTGGCAAATCAGAAGCAGAAGGAAGGAAATGAATTGAAATAAATGGAGTAAGTGGCATCAAGGGAGGGACCCTTAGTAAAAATAAAAATGATGGCCCCTAATCTTAGTTTCTGCTTTATCTCTTTTTAAGAGAGGAGCATGGTCGTAACAAAACTGAGGTCACTGTCTGCATCTCAGTCTGGTCCACCAGGCAGCAGTCTCAGAAAGAGACTGTGATTGGATTAGCACAGAACCCTTGATGCTGTTTGAGCCAAAACTCAAAAGTGAATCTGTCTCTCTTAGTTGGGAGGACCTTTATCATCTGTGAAGTGCATAAAGAGAAAAAACTTTTTTTTAAGCTTTCATTTTATTTTATGTTTTATTTTATTAATTTATTCGACAAAGAGAGAGATCACAAGCAGACAGAGCAGCGGGCAGAGAGGGGGAAGCAGGCTCCCTGCTGAGCAGAGAGCCCGATGCAGGGCTCGGTTGCAGGACCCTAAGATCATGACCTGAGCTGAAGACAGAGGCTCAACCCACTGAGCCACCCAGGTGCCCTAAGATTTTATTTTTAAGTAAGCTCTACATTCAACATGGGGCTTGAACTCACAACCCTGAGATTAGGAGTTGCACGCTAATCTGAGCCAGCCAGGCACCCCAATACCTTTTGTTTTTTCATTGCACTTTGAATTGCACAACATTAAGGAAATTGGTCTCTCTCATAACCATCATTAATCTTATAATTATTTGTTCAGTGACAGGTTTTCCCTGTGTCCCAGGGTTTCTTAATTCTGCACTATTGACATTTTGGCCCGGAAAATTCTGGTCTTCAGGGAACAGTTTGGTTTGGCAGAATGACCTGTGTGTGGGAATGCTCAGACTTGGGAAGAGATTTGTCACCCCTAACCTGGTGTTTGTTGGGGAGAGAAAAAACAGTGAAGTGGCCAGAAACTGGATTGGTGCCCAGGAACCCTGGTATGAAGGACCAGAGGAAGGTTCCTGGTGGTCACGGTCCACCTCACCCTTTCCCTTTCTGCTGTCCTGGTGTGTGTCTCACATTTATTTCCATTTCTAACCTCTTCTGCTAACATGCTCTGGATATGAGAGCTCCAGCTGTTTGCTGCGTTTGGGGCAAACAGTAAGTGGTCAGGCTGACCCCAGGGAATATCAGAGAATTAACGGGTTTCAAATTGCTATTTGTGAACCCGAGGCTAAAAATAACACAATTAAATAGGCAAGTATATATGGTCATTAAAATTCAAGTAGGCAAACGATCAGATAATTTTATGCTACTTATTATCCTGATCTCTTTAAGCATAGGTCTGATAGTACTGTGTCTTTGGGAATAAATAATTAGATACATAAATTACCTTTGTTTTTGAAACATCATGTTGAATTTAGCATTATTACAACCCGCCCCGCAAAAGCTTTCTGTTTGTCATAGTTTAGTTACTCAATTTTAATTTACTAAAGAATATTTTTTAAACATAGGAGAGAGAGGGTAAATTCAGAGACCTTTGAACCCAATACCATTTTAAAACACTTGAGTTTAAATATATTGAAGAGAGAAATCCATGTGTGATGTATGTATGTGTGTATGTGAGCAGAGAGGACCATTCATGAGGGTGGAAGAGGGCTACAGTGCTTCAAAGGATAAGCCCCAGAATTGAAGGGATAGGAGCAAGGAGAGGCCTGAGAGAGGCTGATCATGAATCAAAGTGCTGGGGCTGTCCTGGACAGCGCCCTCGTCAGACAGCAGAGGGGCAGATGCTCTGGGGAGACGCCTGAAGAACCCTCCTTTGAGGTTCTGTGGGCTCAGCTCTTCCTCAGACAGAGCGGATGCTCATGGCAGGCCGGCTTTGTGGGTTCTGTGCTGCGATCAAGTTCTTTGAGCCCAGTAGGCCTCAGTTTCTTCATATGTGAAATGGGGATAATGGTGACACCTGCCTCAAAGTATAGTTCTGAAGACTGAATGACTTAAATGTGTTAAAGTCAATCCTACTTGTTTAGTAACAGTGTAATACGTATTTTGACTTTTTTCTTTTTTAGAAAGTCTGTTATCAGTGACCATGCAAAGGCTCTGGGAGACAATCTGCAAGCTTTAATTTTTTTTCGTCTCACCCCTTCAAACAAAATTTTAAAATGTTTGAAATTAAACTCCTGAAACAGTAGATATGTTATTTTCCAACAAGTTGTGTCCTCAGAATTTCTTTTGATAGGACAGCGGCCGACAAGAGAACTCTTTCAGAGATTTTGCAGCTCAGATTCTTTCTGAGAGCAGTTTGCTTATTTACCTTCTGTAGCCCCTTTGTTTATTGAAACCAGAATATTCTTTGTTCCTCTGCACCAGTTTCAGTGTCCCTGCCATTGTGGATGTCTCCGTTCTGCGGCACTGACCCCTGGGTGGGGCTGGAATTTCGCAGTAGTTAGCAGCGTTGTTCCTTCTGAATATGTCTTGGTTTTCATTCTTGAAGGACTACCACCAACTCCAGTCCAGCTGCTCTACCCTGTGTCTAGATTCAGCAATGTCAAATCCCTCCAGCACCTTTGCAGATTCCGAATCCGACAGCTCGTCCGGATAGATCACATCCCGGATCTCCCACTGCCTAAGTAAAACGGGGTCTTGCGGATCGGGGCTGGGATGGAGGTGTAGTTAGAAATGTGAGTGAGGCCTGCCCGCTGATGGCACAGGCAGAGCCTGGTGCCCTTCACAGGCATCCTCCTTTCACTTCTCATGTGTCTTAGCACCTAACTCTAGAAGCGTCACATGGCAGCTAGAAGGGAGGAAGGTGTGTGTGTATGAGACTCCCTTCTGTAGTCTCTACGAAGAGTGGAATGGAGGTGGTAAGAGGGAGGGAGACAGAACTATAACAAGTGAGAATGTGGCAAGTTTCTTAGGTCGGCCGAGGGTTTTTTGTGTATTCCCGGCCATATAAGGGTTGAAGAAGAAGGAGGGCTTGAACAGAGGGGGTCTTTTGCTTATGGTCTTTGCAAATAACACTTCATGTGTATTCCTCTTTTGTTTTTCATAGACCTCTGATCTCTTATATCCGAAAGTTCTACTACTATGATCCTCAGGAAGAGGTGTACCTGTCTCTAAAGGAAGCGCAGCTCATTTCCAAACAGAAGCAAGAGGTCGAACCCTCCACGTAGCGAGGGGCCCCCTGCTGATCGCCACCACGGGTATGAGCTCACTGCCTCACTGTCCAGCCGAGTCTCTTCCCGGACAGTTACTGTCATGCACTGGGCCTCACCTCCCTCCCCCACACCCCGTGCATATACTCCTGATCCAGGCATCTGCCCAGAGAGTCACAAAGTCTGATAATGGGGGTCCCCCAGGAGGCACATACACCAAATGGTAGAAGAGCAGATAGGCATAAGGGGCTTAAAATGTATTTGCCAAGCAACGTGCAAGCTAACCACCAAATATAAACAAGGAGGAGGACACAGAAATGTAGCTAAGTGTGCAGCCTTCTCTCATACTTTATCTACCTGCTGTTGCACAAATAACATGGAAAACAGGAAACCAAAGGGAAGGATAATGTCATCAAAGAGAACACAAACATGCCTTTCATCGCAACAGCATGCACTTCAGTGAGAACTTCCAGGTCCAGTGGTTTGGAATGTGAGGGTGAGGAAAACAAGCTTGCTTTTCTAGTGAGGGTTCCACCTGGACCACTGAAGAGTAAACGATCAAAAAGATTAAGTGAATTAGCTAAGGGATCCATTTATCGAAGAGGCTCTTCTCCCGTCACTACTTTAACTGAATTCTACTCATTAATTTCCCCATAAAATATCTTGGAATACTGGTTTGTGCAGATTGATTCTAATTAGTCTTTTAAACTGCTTTCGTGGAGGCACTGAAAGGTAGAGGTGAGTAGGAAACAAAATTGCCAGAGAGTCATGAGTTTGGTGCTTTGGGTTACCTGCGAGATCTCACATTCTCATGACCCGCCAGGGGCGGTGACCCCATCTGCTCTTCGTGTAGGCTGTCCTCCTTGTGCACTGACTACGTCTGCTTCCTCTCCAACCTTCTTTGTTCCCCAGCGCCGTCTCCCACACGAGACAAACTAGGGAAGAAACCCACAGCGAAACGGTCTGAGGATGAAGGGAATCTTCATCTCCCTACGCTCTCTGCTCTCTTCGTAACTGGAGAGCGTGATGACTGGCATTTATGCCCCCACGGGTTTTCCTGGGCCGTGGCTAAGGTGAACCCAGCTGTGTGCCTCCCCTCTTAGCTCTAGAAGTCCCTGATTCTATTCTATGTGGGGGAAAGCGCTCGAGCTGGGCTAACAAAGATTAACAAGGAGAGAAGGAATGAAAGAAGAGAGATCAAGAAATCCTAACTCTGGGACACTGCAGAGCTTTAACTTAGAGCATCCTGGACTGGGTGTACATCTTGTCATATCTTCGATTATATGCAAGTTACAACTTCTCCCTCGGAAGCGACTCCTAAAACATCCAGATGTCCTGGCGGCTGGGGGTTTTCTCTGTTTCGCAGCTTGGCTGCAGTTAGGATGGGAAGGTAGGGGGGCGCGCTGACACACATCGTTGTGGAGGAATCAGGACCCACTAGTTAGAGCCCCTCTGTGGGTGTTGTGCCTCAAGAGGACCCCTCCCCAGCAGCACAGTCAGAGGTGGGCTCGGCGCAGGGGTTGGGGGGTGGCGCTCCCAGCTTCAGCAGGTGAGGAGTAAATGACTAACATGGAGCCGAGATGTTTCGGGGTGAGAGGGGCTTGCTAGCTGAAAGAAGTGTGAAGCCGGGGTGGTTAGACTTATCCTGTGTGGCTCTGGGGGTAGGACAAGGGCCATGATGGATGTAAGGTGTAAGGAGTTCGACTTCAGTCCCACTTCAGAAGAACTGTTTTACCAGACAGGTCCAAAAGCGGAGTGGATTTCCACAGGCCTTAGTGAGCTCCCTACAGGGCTCTGCCTTCAGCTCTGTGTTCTTGTTAAGTCCCCAGTGTGGACCGGGAGGAGCGTGCTGGGCGAGGTGGTCTATGGCCCTGACCTCGCGGAGCTGCCATTCTCATGAGGAGAGACAGACAGGAAGCATGTAAAGAAGTGAATAGGCTAATTGCAGTTGACCGTCTGTTACGAGGAATAAAACCTGGTGGAGTTTAGTGATTAGTGGTGGGATAGTGGTACTCAAGTTTGGGTGATCAGGGTAGGCCCCTGTGAGGAGATGTCTGTGAGATCTGAATATCTCAGCTGATCATCTGAATATCAAGGCAGAGCGTTCTGGGCAAGGGGGTCCAGTGAATATAAAGGCCCTGAGATGGGAAGGGATTTGATCCGATGAGGTATAGGCCAGGGGTAGCCAACTGTCTTGAGTATGGGGGAGGGGGTGGTCATGTATTGGCAAAGGGTTGAACTGAATGAACTCTCAGGGTATCTTTGGTGTGTGTGACACCAGGATCGTTGTCTATGGCAAAGAATAAGCATCTTGCTGTCCTCACTCCTGATTTAGACCTTAGGGCCCCTTGAAAAGGGAAGTGACGCTCATGAAGGGAGAATCTTTATGTTGTAGAATTTGGCCCCTATGACTTCCTGTCGGTCAGGCTGATGTTAATTTGGGGAATTCTGAGTGGGCCACTTGGTCTGTGCGTGCTGTTACCTGGGGAGTTTCATGTTGGAGTGCTTGGAGTCTGCAGACAGAGTGATAGGTGGGACGATGCCCTTCTTAAATCAGAAACCACATTGGCCTTTGTGACTGTGTCAGTCCTCTTCAATAGCCAGAAGCAGCAGAGACCTGTGGCTGTTCCCAGCTGGGCTCACCAGGGGTTACTCCAGTTTTGTTCAAGATTTTATTTAGGGGCGGCTTGGGGCCTCAGACAATTACGTGTCTGCCTTCAGCTCAGGTCACGATCCCAGAGTCCTGGGATCCAGCCCTATCCCACGTCAGGCTCCGTACTCAGCAGGAAGTCTGCTTCTCTCTTTCCTTCTACCCACCCCCTACTTGTGCTCCCTCTCTCTCAAATAAATAAAATCTTAAAAAAAAAAAAAAAGATTTTATTTAGAGAGAGAGCAAGCGGGGGAGGGGTAGTGGAGAGAATCTTAAGCTGACTCTGCGCTCAGTTCAGTCTCTCCACCCTCAGACTATGATCTGAGCTCAAGTCGAGTCAGATGCTCGGGGCACCTGGGTGACTCAGCTGATTGGGTGTCTCCCTTCAGCTCAGTCATGATCCTGGAGTCCCAGGATCGAGCCTGTGTCCGGCTCCCTGCTCAGTGGGGAGCCTGCTGCCCTTCATCTCTCACTCTTGCTCTCTCTCAAATAAAATCTTTAAAAAAAAAAAAGAAAAGAGATGCTCAACCAATTGAGCTACCCAGGCGCCCCCTTTTTCTTTCTTTTTTAGTCCCTGGAGCAGGTGAGCCTCAGGAAAAGAGTAGGGGGGATAAGTGGGTGGAAAATTAAGGGGCAAGGGAAATAGAAGTGAGGCGATAGGACAGAATACATTTGTCAGTTATTTTAGGACCTTTTTTTGGCGTCCAAGTCATGGGCTATTCAGGCCCCCCAGCAAGTGCTGTTGTTACATCCTGAGCCCTCCCCACGGTTTGTGGAAGCCTTTGGCTATCCAGAGTTCTCCTTTGGGGCTGTACTTTGCCAGCTCCTGAGGCTGGGCTCTTCTCCATTTGCTTCCACTCCATTGAGCTGCTCTCGTTTTTTTCCTTTTTTCACCTAGGCATTTGGTTGCCAAGCTCCAGTTTTGAAGAACCAAATGAAGCTACTGTGGAAGGGGGAGTGAGGAGAAACGAGGGAGTTGGAAGGGCTGAGATCCTCCGTGCGAAGACTTTGGTCCCCCTCGCAGCCCTGGGGCTTGGAAGAAGCACACGACCACACTCTGTGCGCGGGGCTCCACCTCGTCACGCCCAGCCCCTGCGCTACCCTGGAGCTGGACGAGCTCCTCGGAAAACTGGAAGAAGTCTCAGCACTGTTCCTTTTTTAGATGTTTTGTTTTGGATATTTGCATTTCTCGGTATGGAAAACTTCCTTTAAAGGCAGCTGGGGTCTGTGCCCATTGGACTGGAAGTGGTGCCAAGGGTGAGCCAGGTCCGAGGGAGGGATGGGGTGGGAGGGGATTGCCAGTGACGGTCATTCAGCTGGTGCCAAAGGCAGAGTGTGAGTGTTCACCGTTGACCTTGAAGAAGGGAAGAGAAGGAGTCAGAAGTGCAAATCGAGTTGGGAGTTTCTGAGGGATGAGGATCCTCTTCTGTTTGAGCATGGGTAGCTTCAGTGGGAGCAGGGAAGAAGTGAGGGTGGGTAGTCTCGAATAGAAGATTGCTGAAGAACTGGCAGAGGGCCTCTGGCAGGGAAAGCAGGGACGCCTCACATCCTTTTCCTTTAAAGTTTAGGAACCTGGTTTCAGAATCACCTCTCATAGAAGCTGTGTTAGTTTTGTCATACTGAATTCCTCAGTTTTGTGACCTCAAGTCAGTCCCGTTCTTCCTCCACCCTCCTCCCCTCCCCTTGAGATAACTGTACATTTCACTCTGATCATGGTAGCATCATTCCTGTTGCTTCTGCCAGCTGCCAAGGCAATAGAGCAATCGACTTCCTCATCACCTGAGCAGTTGAGAGCCCTAATCATGAGCTGCTAAAGTTAATGGAGCATGCTTCCAGATTCTTAATGGCAGACTATACCCATGACTTAGGAGTCAGTGTTACTTATCTCCATATGTCTGTCAGCGAGTGAGAGGGAATATGGAGAATGGGGAGAAACGAAGCTCTCGTGATAGCGCTCTTCCGAGAAGCTCTCCAGTGTCTCAGCCTTAATGGAGTGTCTTTGGATCAGAGAAGAGGAGAGCGTTGGATCTCGTGTTTTTAGGTTTATCCCTGTTGTCCCACTTCTGGGATGGGAGGTAGCAAGGGCTTTTTTATTTTCCTGTTTTTTCTAGCAACCTAAACATTTTCCCAAGTCTGATCCTGTTTGCCTCCCCCTTCATTGGGAAGTCTGTCTGGTGCTGATTTGGGAGTTGTCCACCTTCCAGACAGAAATGGAGGAGTGGAGTGGGTGGGGGGTGAAGCTCCGGTGTGTTTCATGGTTGTTGAGTTTTTCTGAAGTGGGCCATTGTCAAGTCATTATGTCAAGATATTATGTCAAGATATTATGAGTTTGCTTTTCTGTAGAGTTACTCTGGGGAGAGGTTTGCTGTTAAGATGTGAAGATTGAGCTGTTTGCGTGTTTACTGCTTTTTTTCGTACATGTTCCATTAGCCTACCTGGTTCCCCTGGGTTTATATCTGCCTCGTCTCATGAGATAAATGGTATCTTCAGGTTTGTGGTTTCCTGATGGTTTGGGGTGAGGCCCCAGTGTCTTGGTAATTTATAGGACTGCCTCATCTGGAAGCGCTGGCCTTCTGCCTTATGTCTTGCATGGAATGACCAGTCTTCCTCCTCATAGCGGAACAGGAAGGAAACGTGCATTGTTATCTGTCTGGAAAGAGGGGGTCACAAAATGAGCTTCGTAGCATAAACATAGCCCACCTCTGATGTGTCATGAGGCACCTCTTTTCTGCTTGGGTCCCATGGGAGTGTCACCAACCAGTGAAGACAGTGGTCCCGGAAATTGGCTGAACCTGTGAGTCTCGCCTCTTGAGGGTGCGGATGAACTTGCCGTCTTGCAGAAGGTGCCCCCCAGCTCGAGAGCCCGAAGTCTGCAATCCATCGGGATCCTTGAGTAGCTGACGTGCAGCTCTTTGGATTTTTTGGGCCTTTTTTCTTTTAGACATTTCAGCCACCCATACTTTTTAAAAAATTCTTTTTTTATAGTGTGTTTTAATGCATTTCCCTGGCTCTGGGGTAGATATTGTGAGAAACACAAGAGGGGAAAGACACCATATCTGGCCTAAGGGAGCTTTTAAGTGACTGCCCCACGTGCAGCAGCTGCAGAATGACTCTGTGTGGCAGCAAGAACCAAGGTCTGTCTTTAAAGAAATTCAGCTGGGTAAGATCAGGACAGACCAGATGGTCTGGGAGAGCTCTGTGGCAGTGAGGCCTTCGGGTCCTAGATGAGGTAAGACAGACAGGAAACACACAACAGAAACATGGAAACAGCAATCTGCAGGGTGTTCTGAACAGGACACAGCCCCAGGTTAGGCGACGGTGTCAGTCACTCCTTTCTCAGGGCCTGTGGTTTCGATGGAAACTTGTAGTCATCAGGCAAGTCTCAGTGCTGAGGGCTTGTGATGGTGAAGTGGAATCCAAAGCCAGAAGTTGGCTGGTTCCTGCCCGTGGCCAGGGGCTTCACTGCTCTCAGTGTAGTCCAGGGAGGGAGGCAGAGCCCTTGTACCCCTTGTGGTACCAGAGGTTTCCACTGGACAATTCCTGCAGTCAGGTCCAGAACCAAACCAGCTGAGGAGGCATGATCCAAGCTCACCACCATCCTTCTTTCTCCTTCTGGGAGAGCGTAGTATGCACACGTGTCCGTGATTTGTCTGTGTGCTAGTCATGGCCCAGGCTATAGCCTAGACCTTCCTCAGTAGAGCAAGACAGTTACACAGGGAGAGGCAGGCTCCATCGGGAGGTGAGGGGAGGAAGAAGCGGGAGTGGGGCAGCTGGCTGAGCGGCCTGCCTGGTCAGAGAGGGAACAGGAGTGGCTGCCCTGTCGCCAGCACTCCCCTTCATCTTTCCAGGCTGGGCCCACTCCTCCTTTGCCAGTTCTGTGTCGTGCTAATCGAAATGCAGTCCACAACTCAGTCCTTTTTGCTTGTTGTATTTTAAAGTCACAAACTGGGAAAGGTTCTCACCTCCAGGGACCCATCATTGATTTTGCAACCCACAATTAATGGGTCCTTGCCTGTGTGACCCTTACTTGTTCGTGATTGATCTACTGTAACCTTCCTCAGGACAGGTGTGAACCACTGTGAGCTAAGAGACAACTATTGCTACAATTTGCTGTTGCTTGAAATTCAAGTGCTGTGGCAGGAGCACAGAATAAGGAGGGTGGGGCTTTGCTCTGAGGACTAGGGAAGTGGGTAACGGCTGGGAGTTTGGGACCGTTGGCGATGGCTTTGGCCCGGTGGCCAGCCTGTGCCTAGATTAGTGAATGTGAGCCGCTGCCTACAGCGTGCAGGCTTCTGAGAGGAGAGGCTTGGTGGGGAGCTCGCCATTAGGGTTTCTACTCCTCCTCTCCTCCCTCTCCCCAGGGGCTGATGGTGTCAGCCTCCCTAAGGTTGGGAGTGCCGCGGAGACGGCTGCAAACCCGCCTACGGTGCACATCCAGGAAGAACTGGGGAGCCGCGAGGGGGCTGAGTGCTCACACATCCGGGTATGAGAGCCAAAAGTAGAGCTGGATGCCCCGGGGTGCCTGCCTTTTTGGCCCTCACCCTAGGCCCCCAAAAGGGCAAGACTGCTTGAAGCCCTCAGGTCCCAGCAGGAAACGGGGCTAGGTGAGACTTTTCCCTTAGGTTAGACCCTTTCCCTGCCCTGCTGCCTTTGCCTTGGCTTTGAGCCCTGGAAATGGAGGGCGAGGTGCTGGGATCTGGCTCTCTGGCTGCAGGAAGGAGCTCTGAAAGTCAGTGTGTGTGCGTGTCCGCGTGTGTATGTCCGTGTGTGTGTCCGCATGCGTGTCTTCATTTGCAGGGGTCTTGCTACCGGTTGGGGTGTTGAAAGCCTCTCCATTGTGGGGAGACCTGCCATTTGTTTTCCACTTTAAAGAGAATGACATGCCCCCTGTCCCTAAGGGAGGAGCTTTTGAGTTAGACATTTTCCCTATGGGAATCCTCTTGGTTTGGTTTGTTGTGGGGGGGTGGGGGGTGGATAACTGATTTTTAGCTCTAATTGTCAACACAGCTGTTCTTACACTGAATTTGTGCTATTGCATACATGTAGCCATCTTTCTTTTCACTGCAGCAGTGTTTATCAGTAGTTCAAAATGATTTATTTGCTCCTGGGGAGTAAAAATCTTTTTTATTAAAAAAGAAAAAGAAAAAAAAAAGGAGAAAGAAAGCAAAGTGTGGCTCCCTCCCCCCATGATAGCTGGAGGATTAGTGAGCCTCAAAGCTCAAGAAGGCAAAGTTGAGTCTGCCAGTCCCTGTGACTTATCCTATTTTGACATCGGAGCCTTCGTGCTCAGCACAAAAGGACAGGAGGCCTTGAGAAGATGGAGAGCAAAGCCTTGGAAGGAGTGAGGTGGGGTTTGGACCATAGAGATGGAGGCACTGGGGGACTCAGGTGCTGCAGTTAGAAAAACAGAGTAAGGAATTGTATTTAAAATACTGATTCTCTAATCTGCCAGGGAAAGACCTTTCTTTGCATACAGATTCCATACTGTCATTGTCGTTTTCATCGCTTCTTGACCTTCCTGGTAGGGCTTCCCGTGCTGTCCTCTGTGCCCCTCTCCCATCCTTTCCCACTCCCATCTACCTCTAGGAAGCCAGTCCTGCACACTGAGTCTGTGACTTGCCTTCACGCTCATTTCATCTCGGTTAGAGGGTCCCTGGAACTGCTCCCTGCCTCCCCCCCTCCCTGCCGCCCCCGAAGTGCCAAGAGGTGCGAAGGGGCAGGTAAAAAGCAGCCAGCCGTGGTGGGGGGACGTGAGTGTTTGGTTGCAGCCGGACGGCAGTCTTTGCTCCTGGAGAGAGGGTGTGACGAGAACCAAGGACTCTGTTGATCAGAACCCAGGAGCTCATCCACTGCTCCGCCCGGCTCAGGTAGGGGCGGGCAGGCTGGTCTGGCTCCTCCATCCCTGGTGCTCCCTTGAACGGGACCCTGCCCCCTCACCGTTCCGCCCAGCACCTTTTCCAAGGGACAAGCATGATCCCGGCACCGCTCCGTGGGCAGGCCGGTCATTGGGATGCCCAGACTGGTACTGCCTGTGGCACGGCCACTGCTGTACATTTTTTGGTTGTTTTTAAGAAACTCTGTGAAGAGGGGTGTCGTTCTGGGCTCAGGGTGGCTGCCAGCCCTTCACCAGAAGGGGAGCCACACCCCTGCAACCACTTCTGTCCTCATGTGCCGCCCCACCCCGCCCTCCTCCAAGCCAAAGCGTGGCCTGGCTTTTGTCTTCCCGTTTCGTTTTCCTCCTCTCTTCCCCCTTTTTGTGCTTAATTTATTAAAATAGTTGCTGTATAATTTATTTTCATAAACTATAAAAAATTACTAAATGGTTAAAATAGACTTGCAGGCCAATCTTAAATGGGGTGGGAGGGTCTGCGGGTGGGGTGGGAGAAGGGAAAGATGTTTTGATATAAACAAAACAAATGCACTTTGGGTGTGTTTTGGTATTTTTCTGGGGATAGATGGGTGGGTGTTGGGCTGTCCCTGTAGATTAGTTCCAGAACCGGGTGTTTGTATATACTGTATTAATAGGCATGTGTGACTCTTACAAAGGGACGTTAGTAGCTGCTGCAGGTCCTGTTTGGAAACCCCTTGTACAACTACCAGTTTTTTGTAAGTGTCAGTGCGGGAGACATTGGACTCTTGTGTTTGTATCTCCTTTTTATGATTGCTGTACTGACCCATGTCTTTTTGGGGAGGGGTGAAAAGAGATTTGAAATAAAAATGTTTAGAAATTACTTCAGGTGGTTTGGGTTCGTGTTTGTCAGTCCTTCTCTCGTCTCCTGGACTCCTCACATCACCACCAGCCCCGTAGAATCCGAGGACCCACCCCTGGTGACTGGGGCATCTCTGTGATGGGAACCAAGCCGGTGCCTCCAGAACTGGTCTTGTCAGAATTAGAGATGTTGGAAAGTTCCCCAGGCCCATGGCCATTGCTCAATGCTGCTTTCTCCTTCCCCGGGAAGTGCAGGAGAATTCCAGTGCCCGTGGCATTTTTTGGGTTGGTGAGCCATGGGGTGGGGCTGTGGCTAGGCAGAGTGCGCGTGTCCCCGCAGCAGTCAGTCCCCACGTTTCCCCGAACCGGCAGGCAAGGTTTCTCATGAGTTTAACCTGCATCTTTCTTGTCTTGCTAAGCCCAGTCCCTCTTGAACCATGCTCTTTGGAGAGAAAAGGAACAGAGTGTTTCTCTGACAACCGTGTGTACTCGGAGCCACTGGAAACTCCCTTCTTCACTTCCCCACCTAACCCTCTCCAAGTCCCCTACTTAGGGGGCCACTGTACCACCTTGGCACATTGAGGGGCATTTCCTGCAATTTCTCTGCATCCTCAGAGCAGCAAGCATGCTCCGTGAGCTAAAACCCAGTTTGAGGGAGTTGCGTTTTCACAGGACTGGTGGAAAGAGCCACCCCAGGGGAGTCTAGGAAGCCCCACTAGCCTGAGTCACAAGTCCCTGGCCCTTGTTAGGGTGAGACAGTGTGTCGGTTCTGTAACAGGGTGAATTTCTTTTTTTTTTTTTTTTAAGATTTTATTTATTTGACAGAAATCACAAGTAGGCAGAGAGGCAGGCAGAAGAGAGAGGAAGGGAAGCAGGCTCCCCACTGAGCAGAGAGTCCGATGCGAGGCTGAATCCCAGAACCCTGGGATCATGACCTGAGCAGAAGACAGAAGCTTTAACCCACTGAGCCACCCAGGTGCCCCGACAGGGTGAATTTCTGATGGAAGTTTTCTTCCCTTTTCGAAGGGAAGTTGCGCCAAGCTACGGAGGGTGAACAACACTACGAGGGAAAATGCTTAACCCAGAACCAGCAGTTCAAATGCCCTCGTGGCCACGGTCTGCACACAGTTGTCAGTTGTAAGGACCCTAAGGACCCTCAGCTCACACCATCAGTCAATAGTGTTAGTGCGTGGGGCGCCTGGGTGGCTCAGTGGGTTAAGCCTCTTCATTCGGCTCAGGTCATGATCCCAGGGTCCTGGGATGGAGCCTCACATGGGACTCTCTGCTCATCGGGGAGCCTGCTTCCCTTCCTCTCTCTCTGCCTGCCTCTCTGCCTACTTGTGATCTCCCCCTCTCTGTCAAACAAATAAAATCTTTTTTAAAAAATTAATTAAAAAAAAGTGTTAGTGTGCATTGCTTCAAAGCAGAGGTGCAGATTTTCATAATTTCAGACGAGCATCAAGCGTCGTTCACAGTTGAGATGACTTAACTTCTTAGGCTCGTTAGGAAAGACAGCTACGGGAGCCTCTGACTTGGGTGATTGAGCTCAGAGAAGGAGAGGCATTCTTTTGGTAACAGTAAACCCCAAATAAGTAAATCAAACGGCCCCCTGCCCTCCTCTTTGCCCCCAACACCTGACGCCACCTATGTCACCCCCTGTGTTCCTCAGCCATTCTCTTCAGCCATTACTTTGATTCTGTCCCCAAGCCTGTTCCCTGTCACATAGCAGGTGGTGCCCCTCCCCCCTCCGTCCTGGCGTGTGTCCCCAAGGGTGAGGATGAGCGTGAGGGTGAGCAGGGAGAAGGGAGTTTTCAGTCTCTCTGGGTTCCCTCCCACCTCGCCTCTACCATGAGCGTCCTGTGTCTCATGGTTTGAGGGTCTGTCGGTGCCACTTGGATTCTGGAGAACAACCCTTTCATCTGGCACTCAGCCAAAGGCTCGGGCTTTGACTCCAGCTCTGAAGAGGCATGAGCTAAGTCACTGCTGGCCTCTCGTGGAGCCCTGTCCGAGAAATTTTTTCAGGAGGAGTTTTGACCAGGCTAATCGCATGCACTGATCCCTGTTCACGCTTTGACTTTGTCTGGCCTCCGTTGCCATGTCCTAATTTAGACGTCCCCCTTTTCACACCTGGGCAATTCCAGCAACTTCCCAGCTGGTCTTTTTGCATCTTGTCTCCTCTCTCCAGTCCTTCTAAAAAGTCCTTCCCAAGAAAAGATGTGCTCAAGTCCCTTCCTTAGTTGATGACTCATCCTAGAGCAGAAAATCTTCCCTCCTCAACTTGGCACCCAACTGTTTCTCCTTCACCTGCCACACAGACTGCACTCTGGTCGTGACACACGCAGTGTCCCCCGAGGACAGCATCCCTTCTCCTGCCACTCCACCTTCCCTCATGCTGGGGGGCCCTTACCTGTCACTCTCTCCACCTGGAAACTACTCCTTCAAGGGTTTGCTCCGGGACCATCTCTGGAATTGTCACCAGCCACTTGTAGCCCAAACCAGTCCTCCCTCCTTGGCCATCTGTTTGTTGACGCATCTGCCTGCTTGCTCATCCTGACCTCTGGTCTGGGAGGGACGGAGCCCAGGTCCTGCTCCGTTCTCTCCCTGCCCCTGGGGCTGGCCCAGTTGAGCACACTCACCAAGGTGGTGGTGGTGGTGGTGGTTGAGGAAAGAGGACATCAGCCGCCCTCCTGGGAGTGCTGCTTGCTCTCCCAGCCCAGCCAGCCTTGAGCCTGGATTTTCACCTTTCACACAAGGCAGCTTCCGTAGGGGGTTCTTAACTACGAAACGTCAGTTCTCTTCAGAATTTCTCAAGGAATTGGAGTTTGAGTGGTTGAAGTAAGAGTGTGAATGATGTAACATGACTGTAACGCAAGGTAGCCCAAAGGTGGGGTGTAGACCACTTCCTACCGCAACCAACAGTGTCACAGCACCAGGGCTGTCCTCTGGTGGAACGTGCTCCCCACGTAGGGTCAGCAGGCTTTGTCCAGCCACGCGGAGTTACACGGAACCATCTACCGTCCCTGGTGAATTCTCCTCCAACAGAAAATCTGCATTTATTTATTTTTTAAAAATATTTTATTTATTTATTTGACAGACAGAGATCACAAGCAGTCAGAGAGGCAGGCAGAGAGAGAGGGGGAAGCAGGATCCCTGCTGAGCAGAGAGCCCGATGCGATGGGGGGGCTCCATCCCAGGACCCTGGGATCATGACCTGAGCTGAAGGCAGAGGCTTTAACCCACTGAGTCACCCAGGCGCCCCGAAAGTCTGCATTTAAAAAGCTCAGCTCAGGGGTGCCTGGGTGGCTCGGTTGGTTAAGCCTCTGCCTTCAGCTCAGATCATGATCCCAGGGTCCTGGGATCGCCTGCTTCTCCCTCTTACTCTGCCCCCCTGCTCCTCCTCTCTGTATCAAATAAATAAAATCTTTA